GAATATTAAATTGTGATAAAAAATAATTAGGCAAATAGGTCAACACAAAATCAAGGCCCGCTTCGATACAAAGATAAAAAACGTAATATTTCTCTCATTTTTAGAAATAAATACAAATAACTTTATATCGTTGGAAAGGGTTAAACGCCAGCATTTTTTTAAGTTCATAGCCAACTATGATTTCCATTAAAAAAATTATATTTTTTCTTATTTCTGATAAAAAGAGCAAGCATAGAAAAAAAACTGACTACACCACTGGATTGTGCCTAAAAAAGTGCCTTAAAAACGTTTTTACAGAATTTTATTATTCCGCAAAATAAAAAAGTTATGGGCAATTTTCAGAATGGAAAAAAAATCAAAAAGAACCCGTATCTCAGTTGGCAGTGGAAATATCAACAGGCGGTTTACGCCATTAAACGTTTCTCAGAAATCGAGCCCATGACATCTATGTCGGTTTTGCTCTATCTAGACAGAAAATATGTTTTCTCTGTTAAAACAGATCAATTTCGACCACCCTGTACAAACAATTTAATTTATTTAAACCAGTGGCGTCCATACTGGTTTGCATTGAATATTTTTGAAGAAAAAATGCTACGCCACTACGTTTCTAAGAAATTTTCATCTCTTGATTTTCTTTCGTTCGACGCATCGTTTTTACCTAAAAAAATGAAAGTCTTAAAAAAGAAGAAAGAAATTTTTCTTGAAGCTCAAGGTCAAATCGCTAAAAATCTGACGCGGTGACAGTTGTGTGGAAGTCGATTCTGCACCGGCTGGATCAAAAGTGTCAAAAAAAGTCATAAGACTGTGAATGAAATTTCATAAAGATAGCTATAACACCGAATTAAACTGGGGCTATAATAACATCAGAGATATTATGAATCATTTTTTTTATCTCAAAAGTTAAGATGTTTAGGACATACATTCACATTTTTTTCTTAAAACAGGTCCAAGAATCACCCCCTTAAATATTAGCATGTCATTAAAGATCAGTCTGTATACAGGGTGTTCCAAAACAAATACGGAAAAATTATGCAGTTTCTTAAGGGGCGTCCATTAATTACGTGAGGGTATTAAGGGGGGAGGGGTTAAGCCGAATCTCCCTACTTACGTAGGTGAGAGAGTGGTTCGGCAAAAAATAATGTAAAAATGTGAGAAAATACATCGACTAAAATATGTCAAAATCTAACAGTTCTTCTGATATTAAAATCTACGAATGATGAATATATGATGAATGAAAAGGTATTAGTCTAAGAGCTGGTTACATAAAAAACCTTACCATCGATACATGGCTAATTTTTTGTGTGAAGTATCCTTTTGTGTAGCCATTATGAAATAGTCATGTCTGCCAGCGCGATCCCGGGGCTTAAAGCGGGGGTGGCCAATCGAAAGGGTGAAATTTTGACACTAAAAATATTATAAGATACATGAGTTATAATTGCGAAAATAGCTTTTATTTATTATTAAGAAACGTGGAAAATTGTTGGCAGACATTTTTCTAGTCGCTAAAATGCCGACAGACAACGCGAAAGAGGCATGAAATTTTAAAAATTATTAAAACATGAAATTTGAAGAATGAAAAAAATTATGATATATTTGCACGCCGATTGGTGAAATGTCATATTTATTTATTTTAAAAGCCGTATGCATAAGCCGTTTAAAAGCCGTATGCATCGTGGCTCAATCAGCTGCAGACAGTTATCAAAAGCGCGATATTACTCTAGCGCTTTATTCAGGGAACGCTGGCCGCCTCATCCATTTAACTATAGATAAATCATATAATATACGATTATATTATAAATATATTTTTTTATTATTTCAATAACGATTTTTTTGTCTGCCCTTTTGCATACGGCTTTTTAAATTAATTAACAATAAACATGACATTCCACCAACCGACAGTCATGTATGCGATGATTTTCTTTTGTCAAAATTCTATGCCTCTTTCGCGTTGTCTGTCGGCATTTCAGCCACGAGAAAAATGTCTGTCATCAATTTTACACATTTCCTAATAATAAATAAAAGCTATTTGGCAATTATAACTCGTGTACCTTATAATATTTTTAGTGTCAAAATTTCACCCTTTCGATTGGCCGCCCCCGCTTTAAGCCCCGGGATCGCGCTGACAGACATGACTATTTCACAATGGCTACACAAAAGGATACTTCACACAAAAACTTAGCCATGTAACGATGATAAGGTTTTTTATGTAGCCAGCTCTCGGTCTATATTTAGTATTGATATATCAAAAATGTGGTTTTAAGGCGAGGTACTGTACTTCTGTGCTACACTAACAACGTTTTAGACTAGCTAAAAAAGGGTGTACCTAAATATTATAATAGGGTACACGTTAACGTGCACCTAGACACAACGAACTTTTAAATGAACACATGTTTATATAAACCTTAAAAATACCTAAAAATTCGCCCTGTGACACATCGGACACTTATTCAGAAACACCCTGTATATCAAACTGCGCATTTTTTTAAACAATGAATCGGCCCTTAAAGCTTTCCGAATTTGTTTTGAAACACCCCGTATAATACATATATTTATATCTTGTACAGATCAAATAATTTATTTTCGGAAATCTATGCTCAAAGTCACTTAAATATTACTTAATAATATTAAACAAATAATCCTTACAAGACATTTATTTCATAGAGACGATAAAGACCAAAACATAATAGAGGAAGACAAATAAAAAAATAATAAAATTCCCGCAAGAGAGGCCTCCTTCTATTGACAAATAATAAGCTTCAGTGACGTCACATACGTAGATATATTTATCCATTTTACGAGAAGTTCAATGACTATTATACTTTTTGGGAATATTAAAATAATATACAGGGTGGCGCACCTCATTCGCCTCGGTTGATTATACGAAAACGGAAAGGTGTAGAAACAAAATATTTTATGGGTACATGTGGGAAGGCAATATGTGCATAATTTAAAATTATTTTGAAATGTACAGGGTGTGTCAGAACTGATATCCATACCAAAGTTATGTTTTTTCTTATGGAACACCCGGTATTTTATTTCATTTTTGGATTCTTGGACCTAAAATAAGGCATTTATTATAAGGGTTTAATATGTTTAAAAGCTTTGGTTTTTGAGATATTTAAAGATATTTAATTATGCATGCTATAAGCCTGAAGAGTTTATGCTCAAAGATATCCAAATATGAATTTTCTTGACAAGCGTTTCTTTGAAAAACAACTTCCTATTTCGCACAGCTGATAGTGTGGTATATGAAAAACCTATTAGGCAGAAACCTGTCGTTGGAAGTGAAGAAAATGAATTTGCCTTAATTGGTTCTTTTAGGGAAAATCGAATATTTCTATAAGTCATCGTAACATAAATCAAATAGAACGTTACTTCTTTATTTTTCTTGATGAAATAATAAATAAAAGTAAACTGTTATAAATTCAAATAAAGTCCATAAACTAATGTCGATTTTGAAAACATCTACTAACTGTCACTAGCAAATTGCCATGGCGACACCAGCAATCTTAATTGCCATTTTATTGAAAAAAACGCTTTTTATTTAAAATCTGAGCTGGATAGGTATAGAAAACCCTATTGCAGTTTGAAAGAGCATTTAAATCTGCTTCGATTTGTTTTAAAAAATACAGGGTGTTGTATTTGAAATAACGAAGTTTTTATTTAAAATAGACCAGCAATTTTTGATACCCCTGTATACAGTTAAGGAAGCAATAATTTTTTTTAGTAAAGTTTATTTTCCTGGCTTCAAAGTCAGCATTAGAATTTACTCTGAAAAGTAATGTACAGGGTGTTGACAAACTTTTTTATTATAGCATGCATATTTAAATATCTTTAAATATCTCAAAAACCACAGCATTTAAACATATTAAATCCTTATAGTATATGCCTTATTTTATGCCCAAGAATCCAAAAATGAAATACCGGATGTTCCATAAGAAAGTTATATTTTAACTTTGGTACAGATCTTAGTTCTGACACACCCTGTACATTTGAAAGTAAGTAATACCATCAGCCCACGCTCTCTCAAGTTAGAAGCAATTGATTGAGTTATAATGTAATGATAAAGAGAAAGATATGGACATTAAAAAGTTCGTATAAATGTATGTCCTAAAATACTTAGTTTCGGAGATACAGGGTGTAGAAGTTTCATTTTTATTTCGATTTTCTCCAAATAATTTCTGAAGTAACTTCGATATTTGGATGAAAATTGGTGTGTGGGAATTTTTTGAAATGAGAAATTAAATTTTGATGTCAATATAACTCCCATTTCTAGAGGGCGCCACCTACATATTTTTAACTGGTTTGAAGAGTAATAACTTTTCGTCCGTACCTGTATAAAACTATTGAATAAAAAATAAACATTTGCGACGTTTTTCACGTAAAAAAGATCCCTCTGTAGAAATCACTACGAGTAATGGTTCTCGAGTTAATTTGAACTGAAATTATCAATACCTGTCATCATTGACATAAATTAAACATTTTGATTAAATAGTTATTAGACTGAAATCATAAATTCGAAATTATTTTGTCCCAAAAGTTCAACAAAAACTGTTTTATCATCATTTTTTCGAAGAAAAATTTATGCTTAATTAAAAAAAAAGTTCCCAGATTTATCATTTCAGTCAAATAACTATCTACTCAACATGTTGACTTTTTGTCAATAATAACATGTATTGACTATTTCTATTCTAAATATCTTGAGAACGGTTGCTCCTAACAATTTTTATCAAAAGAATTTTTTACTTAAAAAATCACGGGAATGTATATTTTTTCACTCACTAGTTTTATACAGGTACGGACGAAAAGTTATAACTCTTCACAACAGTTAAAATACATGTAGGTGGCGTCCCCTACAAATAGGAGAAATATTGACATCAAAATTAAATTACTCATGTCAAAAAACTCCCAGACATCAATTTTCATCCAAATATTGACGTTACTTGCTCATAAATTATTTCGAAAAAATCGAAATAAAAATGAAACTTCAACGTCCTGTATCTCTGAAATTAAGCATTTTAGGACAGACGTTTATATGAACTTTTTTACTTATTTTTATCTGCAGAATATGCTGCCGAAATTTCCGGAATACAATGCGGACCACCATGTATATATAGAATTTTCTCGTAATATCGATATGCTAATATAAAATGTTAATCTACAATTGTGACGTCATGAATTTTTGTCCTACCCCTCTATTATGTTCGTTTGATATAGCCTCCAGATAAAAAAAAATATCTCGATTAAAATATATCCTAAATAAAACTCATTAGGACCATGTTTTTTTCGTTAAAATAGAAACACTGTTAAGTACTCGATACCGCCTTCATTACTTAACCAAAAGGAATCCGTGCACGTTCGCTATAAACTTTTCAAAGTTATTCCTAAATCTCAACCTGTAATCCCTCTGATTAGTCCAGCAAACGCCTTGGATTAGGTTCTCGAAAGCCTCGGACAATCGTTCGGCAACCAAAGGGTCAGATTGTAGATGAATAAGGGTTTGGACTAACATCTGGTATTCGTCTTCGAAGCTGCATATCAGACAGTATATTGTGGCCGAAACATTACTCATCATGTCAGAGTTGAACTGATGTGACAAGGCCAAGTCCATCGTGAGTTTAAGGAACGCTTTTACGGCTGAGCCGAATGGAGTATCCTGGACCTTGCTTCTGAATACGTATATCGACATTCCTGTAAATAATAAATATGGTAATCGCAAAACAATTTCCGATGCACGTTATCAACTTTGAGTGACAAGCGATGGCGACTGCGGTGCCAGATTGTGATGGATTTATGAGATGAATCCTAATTTAAGAGTGACAAACAATATATTTATTATATCATTTTTTAAAGATATTTACGTTTTATTTTTAATTTAATAACTAATATTTTAGTAATTAATTGATTTATTTGTTTTATAGCTTATTTTATTTATTACATATGGGCAAAAACTAGTCCATTACGAAGATTATTCTAAGCGTTATTATGGGTTATTTATTTATTTATTGATGTACACCTTACAACGCCATAAGTGGTACAAACAAGTAAGAGGGTGCTATTAATGCATAAACTAATAATCACAGAATTTAATAAAAACTAACGTAGAAATAACTTTGAAAGTGGTGTAATGTGCTTATCAATCAAACTTACTTCTCTGACTGCAGTCAAGGGTAATAAAGGACCTTTATTGTCACATTCTCGTTCAAAATAGTTTATCAGGGAAGCTACAAGCTCTCTGCTTCGACTGTTTAAATGCTTCGGCATATTTCAACACACAGTTTCAAGAAATGCAATACAAAAACTCGAAAATTTAGTTCTTAAAAGAACTGTTTGTGCTTAAAAGTACAATTTTTAAAAAAAGACAATGAAAATAGGCAAAAAAACGAGAATTACTCACAAAGATTCAACCACACGATATTATACAAAATAATGACTGACATTAGGATAATTGTCAAATAATAAACGACAACCTTGTTGAAAACGGCACAATGTGACCAACATAGCGATAATAAAATTCGGTTTAAACTAATTTTTGCAGCTTTAATCTAAATAACATATCTGTTACAATCATTTGCTCTATAAAGTAAAATGAAGAGCTGTTCGGTATCTTAAATTATAAAAAAAAATTTAAACGTTTTTAGCAAAATTTCATTTAGTCAGGTTTATAGACTTAAGTGTCAATATCGATATGATTGATGACGTGCATCGAAAAATGTTTTGCGATTACAATATTACCGTAATAATCTTGTAAATAGTGCAACCGCGATGAGGTCAAGCAATGCGTCTAAAAGGTAACAAATTTTAACCATGCATTAAAAATATAACCGTTATACAGGGCAGAGCAAAAGTCTTAAGTCAAATTCAACATAAAGTTCAAATGATTTAAGTCTTAAGTCTTTGACTTAAATCATTTTATTTCAAGTCAAGTCATTTTATATATTTTTTTTTCTCAAAAACCATTAATGTTAGGTATAGACTGACATAAATATTCATAAAATTTGACAGAGAATCTAAATAAGTAATAAAAAATGGGGGTACTCATTTAAAATAAGAAAGTTGCTGTTAATTTCCGGTATTTCCGGAAGTGCCGCCATATTGAAACTATTTTTAATCAATAGATCTCATTGTGAAACAATGACGTGCAAAAAATCTCCGATCTAGATATTGTAGTTCTCTAGAAACTTCTAATGTATGCTCAGCCTGGGACACCTTGTATAACGAATTATTTTCAATTATTGTTTTAATATGTTATAAAACGGTTTGTCACATGTGAACAAACATTTACCATGTATGAAATCCAGAGCAGTATGGGCAATATCGTTACCAAAATCAGTCAAACCCAGTTCAATGGTTTTTAACAGACTCGCAAGCATATCCTGTGGGAGATTGGCTATCTTTTCGGGATAAATGTCGTTGATGAGCACCAAAAGATGATAGAACTGGGCACACAAGTTCGGAAATTTCAGAAGTTCCAGTGTCATTAACGGCATAATGAAATTCAGCCCAAAAAGAGCGACGTCTGCAGCTGTAACCTGTAAAAATCATTGTATTTATCTTTGAATGAAAAGATAAGAAAGGAGCATATTATTATCAAAATCTTACATTGACTGCGACGGGACTCTAGAATGGCCGACTTAAATTCCGGTTTATCAGTGCCGTTCTAATTTTATTCAAAACGTGTAAAAATATGATGTAGGGTAGACATGGGGTAGGCTCAATAATTTGTTGTTTTATTTTACGTTATCAATAAATGTTGGTGGTTATTAAAATTGAATTATAAAAATATACAATTCTAATAAAAATAGGTAAGTTATAATAATTATTTATTAACACAAACATCCGACACGCTACTGAAGCAGGTAACATAGATAAAAATATACAATTCTAATAAAAATAGGTAAGTTATAATAATTATTTATTAACACAAACATCCGACACGCTACTAAAGCAGGTAACATAGATAAAGGAAATAAATTTAGATTAGAATGCCCGTCAAAATTTTAGGTTGCGAAATTGTTTTGGGTCGCGACCGTTGTACGCGATCTGGCGCTGCTCTAGCGGTTGCTAAGAACAACCGCAAACAAAAAAACAGAAATAATTTTCACTTGTCCAAATTTCATGTCACAGTCAAAATCTTCAAAAAATATAAAATCTTTCAAAATCTAAACCGCTCCAATTGAAAAAATTCCGAAAAGTGTTAAAGCGTCCATTTTCAAAATAATTATTGCTATCTTGTGAGTTTAATTTAAGTTTTATTTACACAAACCCGTGATAATTGTGAAAAAGTGGCATTAAAAACTTAAAAAGCTGTGCTGTAAACTGCAAAAACCATCGTGGATAGTGGTATAACGTCGGTTTTCAATGTTTCATAGGTATTTCATACGACATGTCCTTATATAAAAGAAAGTTTCTTGTATGCAACACACTGTATTTTATTTATAAAATTAAAAGGAAATAATAATAAATTTGAATAAATAATATTTGGCGATATAATTCCGGAAAAAGCAGGACCACTCCGAAATTTTCAAAAGCTTTGGGTCGCGACCGTTGTAAGAATAGCGCCACAGTGTTTACATTGTCCTTATGGGCACTTTCCAATCTAAACTTGTTTCATTTATCTATGGCAGGTAAGTCAAATTAACGTATGTAAATTCTCTGACAAGTAGTAAATGAAAGCAAAAAATACAAGAAAAAATATATAATTTTAAGTGAATTTCATAAATGAATAGTCACTTACTAGCTAAGTTATTCCATTATTTCCATCGATTTTTAACCAAGATCTACCACACGCTACACAATCAACTATTTTACAGTCTTTTTCGTTAAATCGCAATAGTATCACTGTTAATTTAAGTTCTGCCACAATTTCCTTCTATATTTACTACCTTTAAACAACTATCAGTAGTAGAATAAATAATAAATAACATAAAATAAGTTCAGTAGAGACCGACAAATCCACACAATTTCAAATCAAATTCAAATGTGTCAAATGAATCATTACACAAAACTGTCAAGGATCCCCACCCTAGGACCCTTTGTCCGTCTACCTTGCATGAATACATGAATAGCATTCTACTCCTTTCTTAATCTTTTTATTCAAAGGTATTTATATATTGTACTATAGACTACAGGTTTGTATCCATTCATACAGTTTATACAGGATGTCCCATTTTCGTGTGCTTTATTAATGGGGTTTCCCGTTTATTCCCGTTAGTACAGATACAAAGATGCGGTTTTCACATCACTGTGTTACTTTACACTATGAGTCAGTTTTCACCTTTTAGATAAATAAGTTTTATAAGATAACCGGTATATGAAGGAGGTTGAAAAATGCAACATTTTCAAGTTCGCCCTGTATTTCAGGAACTAAGAGGGCTAGAACAAATCTGTGTGTAGTAGGTATCTTTAGTTTCATAAAAAAGTAGCAGTGTGATGCGTAAACCGCATCTTTGTCTCTGTATTCATAAACCAGAAACGCTGCAAAAAAACACGAAAATGGGACACTTCATACAGTTATGAATAAAGCAGAACTTACTCTCACCAGCTCCCGTTGATTAGTAGCTTGAAACAATTCAATACAGTCTCTTGATAAAATACACGTGAAGACATCTAGAACTAAAGATAAATCTTGACAGCTGCTTTCTTCCGCAAACGTTTCAGTTGAAAGTCTGTTTCCGTTACATTTTGCATATGCCTGTACTGTAGCCAAGGAACTTTCATATAATCTAAATATATAATAGACGTTAGGATAATTAAACATTAACTTAAATTATATAAGTGGAATAAAGAAGTTTGATATATGACTCCGATTTTTTTCTCAGGTAAGATTTCGACAGACGATGACAGAAAAAAGGAGATGACGTTCATACCAATCTATTTATTTCACTAAAAAGTTTCTAATATTTTTTAAGTTAACTATGGATGGGTTTATATAGAGTTCATACCAAATAAACTTTTAATCACGTTATTAAGCTTGACCGGCACAATGTTGCACACTTTTATATATTTTCTTTTAATCAAAATATTTTAGGAAACAAACAGTTATTATTTACATCAATAAAACTCACCTTCTTAACAGCACTTAAGGGACATAAAGGGCCATTACTATCGCTTTCCCGTTCAAAATACTCTAATAAAATTGCGATGAGTTTTTTACGGCTATTAAGCTATCTTGTACACTTCGCACTAAAAGACTGTAACGTCTACTTTTAAGCTTAAAGTATCACAACACTACCTTTTTTAAACAAAAACTCGTAATACAAAACAAATGACAATATCAGGAAACAAATAAATAAATGCGGAATTTGGATATTTTTTAGAGCAGAGCTACCACCTGAATCCCCAGCGCAAATTTTAAATTCCAGTTAGTCAGCACGGCACCGAATATGTCCATGGTTGGCAACAATGAATTTAAAAACCGCGCCCTCGATTACGTAACTAAAAGTTTAATTGATATGAAATATATAAATCCGTCATGGGCGTCGTCTCTTGTGGTTTTTACCCAGTTTTATTGGTTTATTTCAGAAATGACAGATCATATTTCAATATTATTGGTTTGATGGAACGATGAACGACAAACGGATGCCGATATGTATGAACTCGACTTAAGATTTTTGAGAGTTGTCAAACTCTTGCCAAATTATAAGCCAGTTTCGAGCAAACAACCGTTGGTTATGGTTGACAGATAAACGGTTTTAAACGTCAGTTGAGAACCAATCGGTAGACAATTGTCGTTTAAAGCATTGCTTATCTGTCAACCATTGTTCACTCAAACTTATCAAACACAAAGCGCTGTATGCCGCATTTTATTTTGTCTATCAACCGGTCATTTATATTTATTTCTGTCGCATGCATTGAAATACAGACCACGGAGATAATGTCCAGACCTAGTATAATACAGGGTTGTTCACCACATACGACACGGAGTATTGCAGCTAAACGATTAGATTTTTACAAATTGTAAGTTTTGGGTTCGTTGAAGGACTATTAGAGCTACAATTTAAAAATATTTTTACAAGATACAGAGTGTCCCAAGTAAGAAAAAAATATTACAGTTGTTGTTTATAAATAGAACACCCTGTATATTATTCTACGATTATTATATGATTGAAATAAAGGTAAATTTGATTAAGGTTTATCACACTTAAACCTTACCGTTTTTGAAATATTTTCAATTTTATGAAATTGCAGTAAAAAAATAAGGCTTTATTTCTCTAAGGGTATCAAAGTTTTTAATACTAAATATTTACTGAAGATTATTTATTGATCAGATATTGTGTTGCAATAATAAAAATTTTACTACCTTATACAGAGTGTCTACCTTTACTACCTTATACAGAGTGTTTATATTAAATAATTACTAGCTTTAAACGGCAATAACTTGTTTAATTTAAATGGAACACCCTGTATATTTTACGTGAATCAGATGCACAATGTAATTGTCTATCAAATTGTATTATTCCATTTTTTTTATCTCCAGTTCTCATAGAAAATGCATTTTTTATAATTTAGACCCCATTTATCACTATACCCATGGAATATTGACATTTTAGCTTATTTTTAAAGATGTAACAAATTTTCAAAAATTTACAGATACAATATTGTCGATACAGTTACTTATTTAATTAAAAATTAAAAAAAACTCTAAATATTTTTAGTTAAAGAGGACCAATTAAAATGATCCCAATATTCAAACTACATTAATTGACTGTTTACGTTGTAGTAATAATTGTTCCAAATACTAAAAAACTGAATTTTGTGTGTGTATTAGACAGTGTGGTAAAAAGTAACACCTTATAAATTTTATTTCATTTATTGACGAATGCTTATTTATAAAACCAGAGACATTCATTTTCATAACTTATTATTATATTGATTTCTGAGCCAAATCCACATTTATTTAGAATAATTTATTAATTAAAACAATTTAAAAGTACGTAATTAACTAATTTTTAGTGTTTTTGGTAGGAAATAATGGTGGTATATTTAATTGGTATACTCTTTTACAAAGATTTAAATAGTTTTTTTGTATGCCAATGGGCTTGCAATATTTACCACCTGTACATTTTGTACATATTATGGTGCTATAAAAAAATCTGAAATGTCAATATTCCATTGGTATAGTGATAAATGAGAAAGAATCTAAATTATAAGCAAATTCATTTTCTACGAAAACTTGAAGAGATGGGTAAAAAATGGTGTAATACAATTTGATAGACAATTACATTGTGCATCTGATTCACGTAAAATATATAGGGTGTTCCCTTTAAATTAAACAAGTTATTGCCGTTTAAAGCTAGTAATTATTTAATATAAATTTTTGGACACTCTATATAAGGTAGTACAATTTTTATTATTGGAAGACAATATCTGATCAATAAACAATATTCAGTAAATATTTAGTATTAAAAACTTTGATACCCTGAGAGAAATAAAGCCTTAAAATTTTTACTGCAATTTCATAAAATTGAAAATATTTCAAAAACGGTGAGGTTTAAGTGTGATAAACCTGAATCAAATTTACCTTTATTTCAATCGTAGAATCCTAAAATAGAATAATATACAGGGTGTTCCATTTAAAAAAATACAACTATAATATTTTTTACTAATTTGGGACACTCTGTATCTTGTAAAAATATTTTTAAATTGTAGCTCTAATAGACCTTCAACTAACCCAAAACTTACAATTTGTAAAAATCTAATCGTTTAGCTACAATACTCCATGTCGTATGTGGTGAACAACCCTGTATAGTAAACTAGCCTAATATAATAATCTAAAACCTAAAATGCATGGCCTACAACAGGGGTGGATGGGGAAGTGGAAACCGGTCCGGGAAAAATAGGCAACCGGCCCAAATCCACAAAAACAAAATGACCATAACGAAGAAACATATTTTATTTATTAATATATAAGTAAGGGTGTTTTTCGCTCGTGCGAAAAAGCTCTTTTGCCTCCGTTTTAAAAAAAAATTAAAATGTCTTGATCAAAATTTTCGTAAAGACCAATATTGGGTTGGACATCTGAATTTTTACTACAAAATGGCTCAGTTTTACAGGGTTCTACTGCTTTATTTCCATTATCGATAACAGTAATTTGATCTTGAATAGGTTACGATTTTGAGTCACGATTTTGAGAAACTCTAAGACTTCCTGATTCATTCAGTTCAGCTGACCCAATCCTTTGTGAAATACATTACATTTATTTTTTTGGTACTTTCTTACACATTGTAGAAATTCGCTCTTTTCTGCTACAGCAGCAGCCTCCTCGTGTACACTTTTTTTACTGAATGAACCGCGGTCGCCATTAAAACTGCAGCATTTTTTAGGTTATTATATAGTTCTTATCACGAAACTTTTCCTCTATACTTTTCTACATTTGGTATCTTTTATAATAATGCCAATTGAGCATTTTCTTTTAAATGTTCCTGTATATTTTAGAAAACTGTTTAGAACTTCTTGTTCACCGCCAATTTTCCCACGGTATAGTTTCTTAATCTCTGATATTACGGCAGTAATACCGAAAAATTGAGGTGGCTCAATTTTTTTTTAAAATAAATCATTTTTTTTAAAATTTCCAAACTTTAATAACTCGATTGGACCTATTTGAAACTCGATAAACAGAATATTATTATATTATGTTTATTTTATTGAGATCTACCAGCCCTGAAAATATTTGCACTTATAGACTCTTTGTATAATAAAAATTTTCAAACCGAACAAACAACAGATGATTATTAAAATTATAAGTGTCCCAGAGAAAGACATTTTACAATAATTAAATAATAAATTATACTGATGCAAATTGATTAGTTAGTTATGGAGCCACTAAAGATCTTACGTCACTTTAGTTAGAAGATTAACTATTTAATTTTTGCTAATCCAATCTTTTTTGAGCTCTGATCGGGACCGGCCCACCGGGAATTTTCCATTTTTCCCATTTTCCCATATGGCCCATCCACCCCTGGCCTACAATTATTTGCAGTTTTGACATTTGACGCTTTGCTTGACATGGGTCTCGTTACGGAAGACGTCAAATGTCAAAAAAGGAAACAAAAAACGTTTTCCGCTATAGTTAGGTATTCAATAAGCTGGGATTGTTCAACTGAAATATTCAGCAAAAACCCAACATTTTTTTTAAACTATTAAAATTACTCACTTTTTACTGTCCAGAGGTCGCAGATAGCACAACATATATTTAGCGCACTGTCCAAATAACTCTAAAATTAATTGTACTATAACTTGATAGTCTTTGTAAAATGTTAGAAATACTGGAAGTTCTGCCAAAATAGGGGAAAGAAAGTCAAACAAAGTATCCACTGACGCCATTTGGGAACCTAGTATAAAATAAAAACCAATTTAATAAAAAAAAATCTCTGGATTTTTGTTACTATTACCCTTAGCTATGCCTATAAGGCATTCGAGTAAATCAATCACGACCTTTTGTACTTGATCATCTTGACACACCTTGGCAAAATTTTCTTGTGTTATAATGTTTTTGAATCGTAATCTCAGTGGATTTAATATAGTTTCATAATACTTATTTTTCTCTGAAGAGCTTGTTATATATACCCCTACAAGATATGTATTTGTAAATCTATATATAGGGTGTCAAAAAGTTCGCAACATATGGGGAATTTTAGGATTATACTTTATTTTTTTTTCTCATGTAAGATGTCGACAGACGATGACAGAAAAAAAGCAGATGACGTCCATACCAATTCAGTTATTTAACTAAAAAAAGTTTCTAATATTTTTTAGGCTAACTATGGATGGGTTTATATATAAATCCGTCATGCGTCATCGCTTGTTGATTTTAACCAGTTTTATTGGTTCACTTCAAAAATGACAGATCATATTTCAGTATTACTCGTTTAACGGAACGATGAACGACAAACGGACGCCGATGCGTATGAACTCGACTTAAAATTTTTGAGACTTGTCAAACTCTGCCAAATTATAGGTTATAATTTTGTGTCAAATGATTTCAAATAGAAATGATAAATATTTTGTATTTTGGACTGTATTATTACGTGTATTTCGTGTTTTTTCAAAATTAAGTGGAGGAAAACTCAAGGGGAAATTACGTGTTGATCCAGACCATAGTTTACAGTTAATATTCGGTGCCCAGAGACAGTTTGCCAGAGAGTTGTTTAGCCACAAATAAAGTTTGTATACTATCTTGTATATGATACCAAACAGGAGTATCTGTTAAATAGCAGCACACGATAGGTAAATAATAATAATATTGAATAATTATATTGATAAATATAACAATAAATGCAGGAAATTGTTTGAGCTTGAAACACGGCTTGAAAGCAGGAAATCTTTTTTATATTTTTTTTTGGTATGTGGTGTTTTTTTAAAATACACCCTTGCTTGTTTTGTATTAACACATACTGTATTCTAATAAAATAACTTTTTTCAATTTTATACAGTTTTTTTTTCACAATATTTTGAAATAATCACTTGTCACTCAAATATTAATTTTCTGCTATGCGTTCCAATTGTACCAACTTATTTCCTTGTAAAATAAAATAAACTACTTTGAAAATAAAATGACAGACACGTCTATCACTGTCAAGGATCTTGTCATTTTATGCGGCATTATTTCAGCATGCCCAGTAACAAAAAATTGACAAAAGATATGACATATTCTCTATAGTTCTTTTTCTGGGCATATATCGTGCAACATCTGTCATGTTGGAATGTTACAGAAATCCTCTTTATATAGAGAGCTGCGTGCATAAGTCAGTTTCAAATCAGCTGGTTAGGTTATCCAATTAATTTGAGATTTTACTCAAAACAGTAAACCTCCGACAAAACTAAAAAAATGGGCAAATGTAAGGTAAGCCTGTAAAAATCCTTTTATTATTGAAATAGAAATATCAATTATTTTGGTGTTTGTTCACAAAAACAAGAGTGAGAGATGTCAAGAAATAATCGTAAATAATTTAGATGAGATATATGAATGTATTTTGTGCCAATACACGCGGATATTTTGTAGTATTGTCAAGAATCGAAGTGAAATAAAGTGATAAAAAGAGAAAATATTGTCAAGGTCAAGGGCTAAAATGTATTACTGGTTGCCTGCACAACCGCAACGTGTCAAGAAAAATGGCGTATCCGCCAGAAATTACAAGACTTTTTCAGGCGCCATCTTTTAGTCAAGTCGAGAAGGAATCTCAAGTCAAGTCAAGTCGAGACAATGGAATTGTCTGGTATGAAGAAGTACGCTTTCCGAGAATTGGGGAAATTTCGAGAAGCAGTCAATAGAGTATATAAGCCTGGAGCCATCGACAACTGAGACAGTTTTTGAAATTTGAATATACCGCGTGGAAAATGAAAATCGGACAATTTGGTGAAGGAATCTTATAAATAGTTAGTTTGTTGTGTGTTATAAGTTAGTAATTGTGTATAAAGTGAGAAAATAAATTCGTTAAGTATTTTATCGTGAGTTTAAATTAGTGGACCCACGGAATCCGTAACAATATGTCTCTTTTGGCCAGATCTACCACCCCTTAAAATATTTGCTCATATTTCTGGGACACCCTGTATAGTACACAGAAGTCGAAAATAATCTAAATATATCTTATGTAAACTCTAGAATAAAAATAAGATAAAAATGCTTATTTCGAATATTCTTTGGAGTAATCATGAGTGAAATTAATCATAATGTGATGAGATGAAAACAAAAATTAATGAGTAGGGTAGGCAACGCCTTTTTGCCTACATTATATGCACGCCACTGAGATTGCATATATGTAAATAGTTTTTTTTTTCAATTTGTCGTCAAAACAATATGTTGACAGTACGGGCTGAAGAATTCCACCGTAAACCGTTTTTCAATAACTCGATATCTTCCCCATTTGACGCAAACTTTTTGGCACACCCTGTAAAATAGAAAATAATCTATTGACATACCAGCTGAAACAAAACCCTTGTAAAGACCCCTTAAAACCTCTGAGGGCAAACTTCCAGGCTGTAGGTTTTCCGCTAGACTTATCAGCTTGGCCATTGCTTCTGTTTTTATTATATACGGAACCCTAAAATACAAGTTATAATATTTATGTACTTAGATATGATATAGTACATAACAAATAAACTTTTAGTCACGTAATTAAGCTTGACGGGCACAACGTTGCCTACTTTTACATATGTTCTTTTAGTCAAAATATCTTAACAAAAATAAAATTAGTTATAATTATATAAACAGTTATTATTTACATCAACAAAAATGACCTCCTTAACAGCGCTTAAGAGATATAAAGGGTCATTACTACCGCTTTCCCGCCGTTCAAAATATTCTAATAAAGTTGAGATGAGTTTTTTACGGTTATTAAGCTTTCTTATATACTTCGCATTAAAAGAGGTTCTAAAAAAATCAATGTTGGACTGCTAGGTCTGCTAGTAAAAATGTTTAACCTTAAAATAACATAACATAATTCATTTAAACCAAAAACTCGTAATAACAAAACTAAAGGGTCAAAAGGAATCCTGAATCCCAGCGGGAAATTTAAATTCTAGTTAGTCAGCCCGGGACCGAATATGTCCATGGTTGGCAACAATGGATTTAAAAATCGCGCAGTCGATTACGTAACTAAAAGTTTATTTGGTATCGAATATACAGGGTGGCCCATCGAAAACGTTCCGCAAGGCTTAACGGCTAGGGTATTTTTTTTTCAAAAATCCAAAAACACGTCAATTTCGTTTGTGAGGGGGACAACTTTTTTCAAATGGGAAGGGGGGCCAAGTTGTACCGCAATGAAAAGGGCTTTCTATTCTCTATACTTTCCCGCTTCGTTTTTGAAAATCGGTCGAGTCATTGAGAAAATATGAAGGATTGAAATTTGAAAAGTTTATTTATCAGAGAAAATGATAAGGATAAATTCCCTCGACCAATTTGAGTTTTTTTTCTTATTACTTCTAGATATTTACGCATTTTTTCACCTGCCACTAGGTTGAACGATCAGGTGCGTTAGTTACTAGATAGCTGTTCGGTGACTTGTGCGTTGAAGTTCTTCTCAATATCGTTAAACTGACTCACAATAGAATTTCCAAAAATACCAGCCCACACGTTCAATTTCTGAGGGTTTTGTATGTGCACCTCGTGAAAATCCCTGGGGTTGTCCTCAGCCCAGTACCGACAGTTGTGCTGATTAACTACACCGTCCAAAAAGAAAGTACACTCGTCCGAAAAACACACATTAAATAGGAAATTATTATCATTCGCCACTCGTTCACTCGTAGTTTCACAAAATTGCAAGCGACGATCAAAATCGTCTTCGTTCAGTTCTTGTACCAACTGAATTTTGTACGGATGTGTTTTTTTTTAATATCCTGTGGACACTTGTACGACGTTGTTCACGCCGGTCTCATTGGCTAATTTTCTTGTACTCAGCGTACTATCCATGGCAACTTGGCCAAATACGAATACCTCCATAGATTCATTTACTATAGGATTTTCCCTCTGCTTCTTTTTATTCATAACGGAACCGGTTTCGCAAAATTTTGCTACTAACTCGCGAACAATTTTGCCATAAAGGTGTTTGTCAGGATGGCGTTCATTGAATATCTGCGCAACCCGATTGCCACATTCATTATTTTTAAAATAAAGTTCGATTATTTCCACTTTTTCTGGAAGTGAGTACACCATAATTGTTAAAAAGTTTAACGATATTGAGAAGAACTTCAGCTATCAAGCAACTACCGCACCTGATCGTTCTACCTTGTGGTAAGTGAAAAAATGCGTAAACATCTAGAAATAATAAAAAAAACAGCATATTGGTCGAAGGAATTTATCCTTATCATTTACTCTGATAAATGTTTAAATAAACTTTTCAAATTTTAATTCTTCATATTTTCTCAATGACTCGACCGATTTTCAAAAACGAAGCGGGAAAGTATAGAGAATAGAAAGCCCTTTTCATTGCGGTACAACTTGACCCCCCTGCCCATTTGAAAAAAATTGGGGGATGACACCTCCGCTTAGAGGGTTGAACATTTTGCAATCATTTTGGGGGCAAAAGTTCCCTCACAACAAAGTTGGCGTGTTTTTGAATTTTCTGAAAAAAATTACCCTGGTCGTTATGCCTTGCGGAACGTTTTCGATGGGCCACCCTGTATACATACTTTCGTTTCGTACAAATTGCATCACTAAAAACTGCAACTGTATCTTTCAAGACTACTGGTTCTGATTGGAAATTGTATAAATTAGCTGCAATTTTGTTTATGATAAACTCTATTTGTATTTGGGTACAATCACTATCTTTCTCTAAACAAGACCAAAATACATAACCAACCTGAAACATAAATAAATGTTGTAGCAGTTATTACCTTTTAACCAGTGGCGGCTCGTCAGGGTAGGCAAGGTAGGCGGCGCGCGGCGCGGCGCGGCGCGTAAACTACAATTTTGTCAGAATTTAAGTGGTTTACTACCTTACATTATTTACTATTAATGTTGAAATACACAAAAATACTGTTAATACACGGTAGTGTGTTGTAATAATCATCATTAATTTAATATTTGTGGTCCTGTATATTAAAATAATCACTACCGCGAGCGTACGAAAACAAAAAATTTTTGACTGTGTGCATATTGCACACGCCCTTGTTCGGCGATTTCTATATATCGCTCGTTATCAGAGTCTATGCACGACGTAGGGCAGTCTTCTGTATGCTTCTGTCCCTGTCTAGCTCATCGTGCGGTAGCGACGCGACGTAAGTCTGAGTTGTATCGTATTAAGGCGGAGCTTAGGCGAAATATCCGGTCGCCTTTGCACTTTGCATGAAGTCGCGGGAGCTCGGTAGGCTTAGAAGTTAAAGGGATATTTCGTCCCGATATTTCATATGATTCATTATACGTAGTATTTAAAACTTTTATATGGAGAGTCAAAAAACATTTACAGGAAATTAGAAACATTTTTCGGGCTTGTTCAAGACTATATTCAAAATGATAACCGGTTGTATTTCAGAACACGCCACAGAACTAATAGAATCTGAAATAAAAAGCGCGTTGTTTTATTCCGTCCAAGCAGACCGTACAGAAAACTCTCAGCGAGCTATTTCAATTCGATATGTTAATAAAAGGGAGGAAATCAAAAAACTTCTTTGCGAATTTGATGAAATATTAGATAACATTGTTATACATTTAGAAATAAGGTTTGCAGATATGTCTCAATTAATTTTATTTATCTATTGCTAATTTACAGAAATTTAAAGAATCCTGTAAAAAAATTTCAAAGCATTTAATATCTGATTTAATAAACTTTTACTACAATGTTTTTGACCAACATAAATTAATGAACAAATTGCAGGTATTAATTATATATATGATAATTCGATTATAAAATAATTTAAGAAGAATGATCCTGGAAATACATTTCCAGAGAGTTGCAAATGGTTTGTTTTGATTGTTACTTACTGAACAACATTTACAAATAATTGGGTTAAGAGACATTTTTCATGTTTAAAATACATTAAAATTTACAGTAGAAATTCTATGAAAAATAAACGTTTATCGTCACTTGCCTTACTTTCATTCTAAATAGATATTTTCACAGCCCTTCAACAATCTAATGATTTTACTGATATAATAATAAATAACTTTTCTTTATTAAGAGATCCACTCATCAATTTAATATATACAACATAATTATTCTTTCATTTTTTATTAGTCTCGAAATATATAGGTAAGTATATGAATAAGAGAATCTGTTTTTCTTTGTAAATTTAATTGTCTATACAGGGTGCTACAAATTCGAGGTACGAGCATTGGTATCTCGGTAACTGTAATAGATACGAACATGGTTAAATTGGGGCAAAGTTGCGCTTTGGGATGTTCACCAAGATGCCATCAAAAAAGTTTTAAAAATGTCAAGGATTGCTGAGTTTTTTGAAAAAAACGGATTTTTTTGAAAATCAATTTTATTTTTTTGTGTCGTTGCTTTTTAGAAAATCAAAAAACTAATTGCACATTCTCATTGCCACTTTATTAGGACTCTCTGATAGTATTTTTATATTTTCAAATTAGCTGATAATTTGTGAGATACAGAGGCCAACTTAATTTTTTTTAAATACGGACCTGCATTTTTTATTTTAGATTTTGAAAGAACTCGGTCTCCTGAGTATAATGATACGCCACACTTAATATTTTTTTTTATTTCGGACATTCGAACACAATTTATTTAAACTAATTTTAAGTCCGCCTCTGTTTTCTATTAAATAATAATAAATGAAATATTTAATCTACTCATCGTTACAATTGATTATCTTTAAACTTAACAATGACGTGGAGTAAAACATTGAAAACGGAAAATCAAATACAATAAAATAATAAAAAAATAAGATAAAATAAATAATATAAATATGATAAGAATTATCCCGACTTAGTCGCTAAAACCGGCTTTAAGCTGAGAAAAAAAAATATATAAATATATAATACAAACAATCAAATACATTCCATGGAAGATGGATTGGGAATGGTAGAGCAGTATAATGACCAGCGAGGTTCCCGTCGCCAAGGGGCGGGAGGGGGTTGGCATTACTTGACGCCATTTTTAAAAGTGAAATCAATACATTTCAATATTTACAATAAAGAGTACAAAATGCATTCGGAAGTATAAGAAGAAGATATGTTCAAAGAGCTATAAGTAAGATTGAACGAAAAATAAATTTGTGCATTAAAGAGGGTGGTAAATGCCCTTTCGAACATGTAGGGCATTAGAAACTAGTTTGTAGAAGTTGATTTATTTATAATAACTACGATTAATACTATGCATATTATTAAATCGTACACTGAGATTTCAAATTCACAATAAAAAAAGTTAAAAATAATGCTGGATATTATTTATTTGAATCTTTTAGTTGGCTCGATTTTTCTATTCAATGTTAATTAACGCTGATCAATATTGTTGCGATGAATATAATCAGATTAAATAATTTAAAAAACCAGAGTCGGACCTGAAATTATTTGAAATAATAATTAAATAGTTTTGATATTATTCAGGTACCCAAAACAAAAAAAAAGTATCAAGTGTGGCATATCATTGTACTCAGGAGGCCGAGTTCTTTCAAAACTTCAAATAAAAAAATGCAGGTCCGTATTTAAAAAAATTAAGTTGGCCTGTATCTCACAAATTCTAAGCTCATTTAAAAATCTAAAAATACTATCAGATAGTCTTAATAACGTGGCTATGAAAATGTGCAATTAATTTTTTGATTTTCCAAAAATTAACGACAGGAAAAAATAAAATAGATTTTCAAAAAAATCCGTTTTTTCCAAAAAAACTCAGCAATCCTTGAAATTTTTAAAACTTTTTTGATGGCGTCTTTGTGAACATCCTAAAGCGCAACTTTGCCCCAATTTAACCATCTTCGTATCTATTACGGTTTCCGAGATTCCAATGCTCGTATCTCGAATTTGTAGCACCCTGTATACTTACGAATTTTTAAGTTTGCGTAAATAAATAAAATAAAATAAAATCCTATGATGTACTCCATGGTACTATTATCTATTTTATTTATCAAAGTACTTATAAAAAATTAGCAGCTGAGGAGATAAAAAAAACTTATACTTGTACATTATGTCAGTCATTATGTCATTATGTCATTACGTTGAATGTTGCTATTTTTGCTTTAGTTTTGTCCTAAATATTCTTGAGCTATGTTTTTAACCCAGAGTTAACATATATTTACGAACTGGGTTAGGGTATTATGTAAATTTAGGGGGGGGGGGGCAAATAGATGCAACTAAAAACTTGTCGCCCACCCAGTCCCACAGGTCACGAACCGCCACTGCTTTTAACAACAAAATAAAACTTACTTCATTGAAATAGTTGTCAAGAGGTATTAATAAATAAGTACGATACCATCTTTTCATAAACCACATTAGAGATGAGCTCACTTCAGGGCTCCAAAGATGACCCAATTTCATTGATACGGCAAGATCTTCTATTGCACACAGTCTCAAAACATTGAATGCAACTCTGATTGTATGATCTAGATACTCTGCTCTGTCTGGTAGACCGGGCTAAAATCAGATAAAAAATAAGCAGAGTTTTTTCATACTTTACTGAAATTAACACTACAGTATGTCCCGGATTGTCTTTACAAGAGGAAAACTTTTTTATTATTGGCATTTTGAGAAACATGCATTCTTCATAAAAAATGTTGCTTGTTCTAAAATAAACTCACCGGCAAACAAAAACCGGCCACTAAAAACTAGTCCCAATTTCAAAGTTGGATTTCTCGCGAACCACTCATTAGATTTTGATGATTTTTTTTTAATTATAAATTAATTCCTTCTAAACAGATGCTTCGTCAGAAATTTTTATTCCGAATTTATTTTGAGCATATACAGGGCACAAAAATAAGACGAAGTTTTTTGCTCGAACTTTGTAACACCCTGTAGGGTGAATCAGCTGTAATAGCTATTGCTAAATCAAATCACATTGTACCCTTATCTTTTGTGAGCATTTTGTTTTTTTTAATCACGACATTATCTCTGTTTGTATTGGAGATACGCTGCTTTAAAACGAACGTCTCGGAAAAATGTTTTGCAGGCAGAAAGTTTTATGTTCAAGGCGACATAGGCGAAAACGGATTTATGAGTATTTGCAATATGACAACGGTTGTCAAATTAAAAAAATTATATCTGTGACGGATGTTGCTCGTATTGTGGCTCTAATTGAGGATGGTCGAAGTCAACGCTATGTGTCCGATACCCTCGAACAACAGTCCAGGATGCCTGGAATCGGTATACGGAAACGAGAAATTTCACCAGGCGAGTGGGTTCCGAAAGAAAACGGCAGACAAATGCAATTGACGATCGCTTTATTGTCCTGAATACTTTAGGAAATCGTAGAATTACAGCGCTTCAGAATCAACATCTGCTACAAGCCGTGCCTAGAATTCAAGTCAGTGAGAGAACAATACAACGAAGACTAAAAGAAAACAGCTTGTCTGCAAGGTGACCTGCCACAGGACCCCAGCTACTTCCAAGACATCGCCGAGCACGTCTTCAATTTGCGCGTTTACACGTAAATTGGTTTGGTCGCGGTTTTGCCTGCAAATCATTTTTCCGAGACGTTCGTTTTAAAGCAGCGTATCTCCATCTCCAATATCAACAGAGATAATGTGATTAAAAAAACAAAATGTTCACAAAAGATGAGGCTATAATGTGAATTGATCTAGCAATAGCTACTACAGCTGCTGCACCCTAGAGGGTGTCACAAAGTTCGAGCAAATCCAACTCTGAAATTGGGACTAGTTTTTAGTGAACGGTTTTTTTGCTGGTGAGTGTAGTTAATCCTGTTTATACCATTCCAAATTTCCGTACCGTTTTAAAGAAAATTGAAGTCCTGAAAATCAAAAGGCGTTTCTATTTGTACTATGGTAACATCACTTCTATTTCATTCTTGGATACATGGCTGTTGTTAATTTTGATTAACGTCATATTTCTGCTGTTGTTAAAGTATCATATTTTCCGATAACTATTATTACTATTTATGTAGCATTGAACTAAATAATTAATGTGTGAGGAATTTGTGGGGAAAATGGGGAAACACCAGAACACCTTATCACTGAGTGCGCCGAGACGACGACCATTCGTGCCATGAACCTTGGTACGTCTGATGTCGAGGATGGAGAGCTGGCCTCTGTGGAGCCGTCTCAGATACTGGCTTTTCTTAAAGCCCTGAGACTGTATGATGAGTTATAACTCGTTATAACTGAAGAAAGGGGAACACACAATAGTTCTATAAGGTCGCGGTGATTAACTCCCCTCCTAAACATTCTACATTCTACATTCTACAAATATTTTATGAATTAAAATTATATCAATAAGAATCTATGGAAGAATGAAAACGAATTTTTTCATATTACTATAGAAACGCGTTTTAATTTTTAGGATTTTTTTAAATGCATATATGTGAACAGTAAATTGAATGTTTACTGTCACAAAAAAATAAATTATAAAAAAATACACTTAGCCACTCTGAACGAATATAAATATTCCTAGGAAATCTAACCAGAAAGTATGCATGTTAAAACCACATCTGAATACTTTACTTGCCTATGAAAAGATAATTCGAGGACCTTTATATATATTAGAACTTCCACACACCAAACGCATTCTATTCATTTTTACGAGTATTACAAAAAGTCCATCGAAAAAAAATAGACATATAACTGCACAAACTTAAAATTAACTTCTCACTGAACACACTTGCATCCTTGGCTATATAAAAGCGACCGATAAAAGGGTAATTAATAAAATTCTTGAAATAAAAACGCAAAAAAGCGCCGTTACACAATGGAAATAAGATTAAGGCCATAGATAAATGAAACAAGTTTAGATTGGAAAGTGCCCATAAGGACAATGCAAACACTATTTGGCGCTATTCTTGCAACGGTCGCGACCCAAAACTTTTGAAAATTTCGGAGCGGTTCGGCTTTTTCTGAAATTATATCGCCAAAAATTGTTTATCCAAATTTATTATTATTTCCTTTTAATTTATAAATAAAATACAGTGTGTTGCATACAAGAAACTTTATTTTATATAAGGACATGTAAGTATCGTGTATGAAATACCTATGGAACATTGGAACCCGACGTTATGCCACGATCCACGATGGTTTTTGCAGTTCACAGTTCACAGCACAGCTTTTTAAGTTTTTAATGCCACTTTTTCACAATTATCACGGGTTTGAGTAAATAAACCTTTAAACTCACAAAATAGCAATAATTACTTTGAAAATGGACGCTTTAAACACTTTTTGGATTTTTTTCAATGAGAGACAAGAGAAAATTTTCTGTTGTTTGCGGTTGTTCTTAGCAACCTAAATAGCAACCCCTATAGTAACGCCAGATCGCGTACAAGGGTCGCGACCCAAAACAATTTCGCGACCCAAAATTTTGACGGGCATTCCAATCTAAATTTATTTCCTAATATATGATTATGACAATATGACGACAATGAAAAATCGGTTTCCATAACAATGTACAATTTGTGCTTTCTAACCGTATAAAATTATTTTGGAAATACATTAATTTAATGCGCGGAATTTAATGCGCATGCGCAAAGCATGGTCCTCGAGAAAGACAAACCTATTGAAAGTTTTATAAGTGCAATAAAGAAGGTTTGAAAATTTTTAATGCTAATCGTATGGCGTTTATACATCCACGTAAGTACCGGGTGGCCAACTAAGAATGGACGGCGGCTATATCTCAGAAACTACTTATCATATCTTTGGGAAAAAAATTCTAATAAGTAAATAGACCAAGAGAAACCGCTGTTAATTATTTTCAAGTTCGAGAAATGCCCGCTAAGGGGCGTTTCTCTAATAGCCAATAAGAAACAGGGTTTTTCTCAAAAATATGCAGGTGAACAGGTATATTAAATATTACTATTGTAATCATCGAGAAATTTGGAATTTTTTTGATATAAAGTATTTTGCTGTATCTCATAAAATAAAGTGGTGGGGGAAGGTTAAACTTGCTTTTATTAAAATAAAGTTAACTCTGGTTTGGGTTACGCGAACTAAACAAACTAGGGCTTGTTTGAAAGAGATTTTCTTCCTTAATGATCTCCAGTATAAATTTTGTTTCCACAATTTTTTTCGTGGTAGCTAGGGGGAGCTGTTTGACATCATAACAGATATTGCGCTTTTGCGTAAAAAAATGAAATAGGAGGCTACATTTCTCTTTACACAATTAAATAGAGCACAGAATTTCCAAAATATCAGCGCCAAACCGCAACTTTCTATCTTCTCTCTAACCGGAGATATTAAGAGAACAAATCATGTTAGGCCGCTTAGGATTATATAGTCTAAAAATTATAGTAGTAGGCTGGGTTAGGTTAGGTAGCAGTAGGCTGGGTTAGGTAAATTGGTTACGTCAAAATATCAAAACATATATTTTAATTTCATTTTAATACCGTTTAATTCTTATCTATCCATGTTTCCTTCTTGATTCGACCCCATAAATTAAAACCCAGGCATATTGTATCCGATGACCGAGCTGGCCATGGAAATATGCCGCTCCAGCGTCTCTATCTATTATCTGACAAACGGATCTAAAACAGCAAGAGGAATTCCGGCAAAAAAAGTCGACGTTGTCACGTTTAATAATAGAAAAGCAAAGTTGCTCAATATTACCTATAAGTTGAATATATTTTAGTTCATTTGAACATACATCATTATATATATGCTAATATCTTGACGTTGTTCTTATTGTATTAATGTATATTTATCTAATTAACTAATCTCCTTCATTTTCCCTATTATAAAAGGTAAAGTATTTCCTAAAAATAACGTCCGCTTAGGGCAAGCTGGCAACGCTGACAAAATTCATCATGGCATCCCGGATTCAACCAATCTGATTGGTCGAGATTCTCGCACGTCTTGCCGCCATTACCCTCAACTCTATGCCCCTCTCTAGGAATAGTAGAAACAGCCACTACTACTGCAAAATCCAGTGGCGGTGTACTATATTGTGTTTTATGCCGTTAACTTGATTTCTGCTTATTGTAATTAGTACACGCGTTTTAACAAATATTACTATATTTGACAAATGACTAAACAAAATGTAGGTACATTTAAAGTAAAATAATATTATAAACTTTACTGGAAAATATTATAAAAATTCCTGATATATTTTTATGAAACACCGCACGCTCCTGGATATTTTATGAATGAAATCGGTCATGATTTCACAAAATTGCGATCCCCTTACCGTTGCCCCGTTGTCTCAGATCCGTTTGTCAAACTGTACCAAAGTAAGTGGTATCCAAGAAGCACCACACATTCATAGCAAAATAAGCGGCACCACTGCCTCAACTACACCAACGGCATTCATGCTGATGAAATTGCAACAAATGCAATTTCATCAGCATGAATGCCGTTGGTTTGGTTTGGATGGATCCCCTAACAAAATTGGCAAATCATTTCTTAGAAATTATGGATAGTTCATTTCATTCAGATAATTAAAAAAGTCCAATCATTCGCCATCCTAGAATTCCTGCGCAAACATTTACCGACCAATGGTCTTACATCAAGGGCAGAATTGGAGCAGTGGTGCATACTGTTAAGATTCGCACCTTCGTTCGGTGCTATATGAAAAATGACCCAAACGACATAAACTTTATAATATAATAATAAATAACACAAACAACAGGTAAAACACGAAAACAAGTGAAATCAAGGACGAACTTGGATTAATAACTAAATGACGTTATATGAATAAACCCCTAGTTTTCGACCATACGAAATTCGGCGGTTTTTTCTGTTAAAAACAATATGGCGGCACAAAATTCCTAGAAAAAGCGGCAGCCTAACATGATTTGTTCTCTTAATATCTCCGGTTAGAGAGCAGATAGAAAGTTGCGGTTTGCGCTGATATTTTGGAAATTTTGTGCTCTATTTAACTGTGCAAAGAGAAATATAGCCTTCTATTTAATTTTTTTACGCAAAAGCGCAATATCTGTTATGATGTCAAACAGCGCCCTCTAGCTACCACGAAAAAAATTGTGGAAACAAAATTTATACTGGAGATCATTAAGGAAGAACAGCTCTTTTAAACGAGGCCTAGTTTGTTTAAATCGCGCAACCTAAACCAGAATTATCCTTATTTTAATAAAAGCAAGTTTAACCTCCCCCACCACTTTATTTTTTTTGAGATAGAGCAAAATACTCTATATCAAAAAAATTACAAATTCATCGATGATTATAATAGTAATATTTAAAATACCTGTTCACCTGCATATTTTTGAGAAAAACCCTGTTTTCTCATTGGCTATTAGAGAAACGCCTCCTAGCGGGCATTTTTCGAACTTGAAAGTAATTTCCAGCGATTTCTCTTGGTCGATTTACCTATTAGAATTTTTTTCCCAAAGTTATACGATAAGTAGTTTCTGAGATACAGCCGGCGTCCATTCTTAGTTGGCCACCCGGTACATTTAATCTAGGCATCCAATTCATCTGTTTCCAGTTTGTGGAATAAAGCTTGATTTTCATGCATCCGTTGTCCGACGATACGATGATACGATATTAATTTTATTGGTTGAATTTAAGGACATTGATTGGTTAACCGTTTCTAACCAATCGAAGTCTTTAAATTAAACCAATAAAATTAATATTGTAACAACGTATCGTCGGACAACGGATGCATGAAAATCAAGCTTAAGTAATATTTTTCAAATGTTTGACATTTAAGCATGAATTAGACAATAATGACATACTAATCATTTAAACATTTTTTATATAATACCCTGGCATCCACGTAAACTAATGCGTCAACACTGTCATCTTTATCAACCTTGCCGTTCTTGAATTGTTCAATAGAATATCTCATAATATCGGCGGGTATTACTGCAGTTTCCCCATCGCTTTCCATGCAAAGAACATGACCCGATATTAAAACAGCCCAGTGTATATCTTCGTAGATGCTGTCCAGTACAGCTGCTTCGTTAACGGTCATCGCACGATGTTGCATGACTAGTAAATGAGACAACAACGACGCTATCCGTGCCTCCAGAATCCTACAGAAAAATTTTGAATAAGAGCTAATATTATTTTCAATTCATTTGATCTTTGAGTAAAAAGATTAAGGAAGGAGCATATCACAAATCTTAGATCGTCAGCGAGGGGTTCCTAGAATGGCCGACTTAAATTCCGGTTAATCGGTGCCGTTCTAATTTTAATCACAACGTGTAAAAATGATGTAGGTAGAGTAGACTCAATAATTTGTTGTTTTATTTTAATAAAAATAATAGCTCCCGTATATAGCGTTTTAACACCTTGGGAGTAGCAAGGTACAGCTTGCCATACTAGAGCTGTTCGGTATACAAGAAAGGTAATGTGGCTAGCACTACGCTTCAACCGCCTATTATTACCTCAGGATTGTGAATCCCAAGTACTCATTTGAGGCTGAGTCGACCTAGGTACCCAAACTATTTTTATTTTAATAAAAATAGTCGGCTGATGAAATGCCGGGTGTGGGATTCGAACCAACTACCTTGAGATTGATAGACGAGAGTCTGTACCTCTACGCCACCGGGCACCTTGTTTTATTTTACGTTATCAATAAATGTTGGTAGTTATTAAAATTGTTATAAAAATATACAGGGTTGTTCACCACATACGACACGGAGTATTAGCTAAACAGTTTTTTTAAACAGTTTTTTTTCATTTTTTAGTGAAATAAACGAACTATATCGACAATATTAGTATCTGTACTCTTTAAAAATTTGGTACATCTTTAAAAATAATCTAAAATGTCAGTATTCCATGGGTATATTGATAAATGAGTTCTAAATTACAAGAAAATGCATTTTCTACGGAAACTTGAAGAGATAGGTAAAAAATGGTATAATACAATTTGATAGACAATTAAATTATGCATCTGATTCTCATAAAATATACAGGGGTGTTCCATTTAAATTAAAAAGTATTGCCATTTTAGCTAGTAGCTAGGTATTTTAAAATAAATTTTAGACACTCTGTATAAGGTAGTAAGTTTTATTATTGCAACACAATAACTGATCAATAAATAAACTTCAAGTAAATATTTAGTATTAAAACTTTGATACCCTCGGAGAAATGAAGCCTTGAAATTTATACTGCAATTTCACAAAATTGAAAATATTTCAAAACGGTAAGGTTTAAGTGTAATAAACCTTAATCAAATTTACCTTTATTTTAATCGTAGAAACTAAAAATGTAATAATATATAGGGTGTTCCATTTAAAAAAATACAACTTTGATATTTTCTATTTACTTGGGACACTCTGTATCTTGTAAAAATATTTTTAAATTGTAGCTCTAATAGTCCTTCAACGAACCCAAAACTTACAATTTGTAAAAACCTAGTCGTTTAGCTACAATACTCCGTGTCGTATGTGGTGAACAACCCTGTATAATAATCATAAAAATAGATAAGTTATGGTGGGTTTCGAGTATTAGCCCTAACCTTATGGCGCGTTCTCACGACTCGTGTACTTGGCAAGTATTTTGTATTGGCCTACAGGGTCTAGTGGGAGTGCGGCGTAGTTCCTATAATAAATAACTCAGAAATTCTGTATAGATGCCCGATGCACCGTGTAAACCCTGTATAGGCTTGGTGCATTAATTTTAGTTGATTTCAACAAATTCCGACCGCAGCGCACACTACGGCAGGAATCAGAAAATATCAATATACAGTTCACGCCGCCGTCATGTCGATCGCATTAAAATAATATTGAAATCGGGGTTTTGTCATAATATTTAAGTATTTTAGTTTCTTGCTAGTGCACTTAATTGAGACTATAAAAACTCAGGTACGAGGTTTGTGTGATGTAACGCTGTTTCGGGTAGTAAAAAATAAGTGAAAAAGAATTCAAACTAGGCGTCTCCGGTCTAGATATTGTTGTTCTCTTGAAACTTCTAATGCACGTTCAGCCTGGGACACCCTGTATATACTATGAGAGGATGAAATATAGTTTGCAATGGTATACTTTTTTAATCAACTAGTGATTAAATGTTTTATGAACATCTAAAATTATAATTATGTACCTTTAAGAAATTCGTTACAGCCGAAATAGCTGCAAACCCCACTAGCAAAACAGGTGATAAAACTATGCTCGCTACCGTAGTTGAACTCATCTAATTTTTTTTAACTGGAATAATAAATTATAATGCAAATTAGACCTTCGGATGATATCAAAATATTTACCTTTTTATTTTTTTGTTTAGAATTTCCACAAATTACACTTTCTAACACTTTTAGAATAATTATATACTAATTTTTCGTTTACTAATGATGCGGATGCCATTTAAACCCGTGTATTGTATGTATTCGTTAATTGTATGTATTATTTTTAAAATTTCTAATACGAGAGAAACTTTTTTTTACATTAATAATTTCTAGACCAAAAAATATATGATTTATTAACATTTATAAATCGTCAAATTCAACATGTCAGATATTATTTCGAGAATTCTTAAAACCCCTAGCTTTGAGCATGCGCGATTCAGTTTTGAATTAGCATTAGTCCTAAGAATATAACATATCCCAACCAGGTAAGTCAAATTGACGTATCTAAACTCTTTGACATCTAATCTTTGACAAGTAGTAGATAAAGGCAAAAAATGCAAGAAAAAATATATAATTAGTTAATTTTAAGTGTATTTCATAAATGATTGGTTATTCACATATGTATAGTATAATATACAAATTTGTATAATATACTATTGTAATCGCAAAACATTTTCTGATGCACGTCATCAATCATATCTAACCTGACTAAATGAAATTTTGGCGAAAATGTTTAAATTTGTTATATAATTTAAGATACAGAGCAGTTCTTCATTTTACTTTATAGAGCAAATGATTGTAACAGATATTTTATTTAGATTAAGCTGCAAAAATTAGTTTAAACCGAATTTTATTATCGCTATGTTGGTCACATTGCGCCGTTTTTAGCAAGGTTGTCGTTTATTATTTGACAATTATCCTAATGTCAGTCATTATTTTGTATAATATCGTGTTGTTGTTGAATCTTTGTGAGTAATTCTCGTTTTTTTTGCCTACTTTTAAGCACAAACAGTTCTTTTAAGAATTAAATTTTCGAGTTTTTGTATTGCATTTCTTGAAATTGTGTGTTGAAAATATGCCGAAGCATTTAAACAGTCGAAGCAAGGAGCTTGTAGCTTCCCTGATAAAATATTTTGAACGAGAACGTGACAATAAAGGTCCTTTATTATCCTAGACTGCAGTCAGAGAAGTAAGTTTGATTGATAAGCATATTACACCACTTCCAAAGTTATTTCTAAGTTAGTTATTATTAAATTCTGTGATTATTAGTTTGTGCATTAATAGCACCCTCTTACTTGTTATTAACACTTGTGGCGTTGTAAGATGTACATAATCACCCATAATAACGCTTCATAATGGACTAGTTTTTGCCAATATGTAATATGCAGAAAGAAAAATAAGTAAAAAAATCAGTAAAATATGCAGAATATATGTACTATGTAAAATATGTATAATAACCTAACCAAAACAAATAAATCAATTAATTACTAAAATCTTAGATATTAAATTAAAAATAAAACGTAAAAATCTTTAAAAAATGATATAATAAATATATTGTTTGTCACTCTTAATTTATGATTCATCTCATAAATCCATCAAAATCTGGCAGCGCTGTCGCCATCGTTTGTCACTCAAAGTTGATCACGTGCATCGGAAATTGTTTTGCGATTACCATTTAATAGTCACTTACTAGCGAAAAATTGTTCCATTATTTCCCTCGATTTTTGACCGAGATCTACCGTACGCTACTCAACCATAATTTTACAATCTTTTTCGATAAATCGCAATAGTGTCATTGTTAATTTAAATTCTGCCACGATTTTCTTGTAGATTAACTATTTTTAAACAACTATCGGTAGTAGAATAAATAATAAATAAAATAAAATAAGCCCAGTAAAGACTGACAAATCCACAAAATTTCAAATCAAATTCAAATGTGTCAAATTAATCGTCGTATCTCCTTCCTTAATCTTTTTATTCAATTAACTTTATTGTTTCTATACTTGAATAAAACTGGTAGCGAATGACTAAGAACGCATCGACCAAATAGACCAACAATTTGAAGTTGTTCTTTATACTTTATCCTGTCATTATCTTCAATATCTTCATCGACATTATTTCCACCTAAAAATAGAAGCCGTAGTAAACAGTAGATATAGTTTGTCCAACGACACAATCAAATATGTAATATACCAAAGACAAAATCTTTGACAGGTATAGATGTGTCTGTCATCATGATACTAAGAAAACAAGGTATGATATTGCGCAGGTTGGTCACTACGTCACAGGTGATAAACGGCACTATTGGTCGGCAAGCTCCGCGCGCCAATTTCAAATTGTCAAACAGCTGACACATAATAAATGTGTCATAACTTTTCAAATGTCAAGCTCTATGATTTGACATAACTTTTGGGGTTATGTCCTAATTCTTCCCTATTTTAGGTCTTTTTTTATTAGTGGCAATTGAACAATATGGATATTTTATTGAATGGCATATGACGTCACAGGTAGTATGCGCAAACTGAACGAAATTGGAGTACCTTGTTTTCTTTGTACCATGGTCTGTTATTATAATTTCAAAGTAATTTATTTTATTTTACAAAGAAATAAGGTGGGACAAGTTTTCAGCTATTTAGGAGGAATAAGTGATGGTAGTCCGTTTGTCAGTAAAATATTTATCTAGAGGTAGTATATTTGGTGAAATTTGCGTGTGTCGAGTTAATTAATATACTAATATAACTTTTATATAAAATGGTTAAAAATAAAAATCTGAAAGGTTTCTTAACTGTTACTTACCACCAGTATCAGGTATTCTGATACCATCAGGTTGGGCCAAATGGCATTGTACATATTTATTAAATATTCTCATTCCACATGAAGTTATACTTTCATCTGTTATTTGATGAAAGTCATGGTAAATTGAGTTCCATGCTTCAAGCATGTTCTCGAGAGATTCAGAAAAAAATCTATCTGCATCTGGATCCTAAAAATTCCACAATGAAATATAAAATTACAAATCATAGCTATACAGGACGAAAATGAATAAGTGCAAAGAAGTTTAGGAGATAATTACTTTTTTAAGAATAAGTGTGAGTTTTTATGCATCCGTTATGAGTCGTCCGTCGTTGATATGCCATTCCATTGGTTTGTTTCAAAAATTGAATACATACAGGATGATTCCTTTCGGGGAATGATAGAGGACGTCGAAATATTAATTGAAGTAAGAAGTTTCACTTCAAATATTCAAATATAAAAATACAAATTTTCTTGAAACAAATGTTCTAATAATTTCTTTAAAATTTTATTTGCATTAAATTACTAAAAATACTATTTATTTAAAGATTTTCTATGTAGAAAGTGCATCTTGTAAAAGTCTATTTAAAAAATGCAAGACTTACAAGAGTCTTGTAGACCAAGACTACTTTTTAACTGCAAGTTAGTTTGTTCTACCAAGACCAAAGAAGTATTTTATACTGTTTTGAATTAGAGGACCCACACGGAATTCGTGTGTAACAATATTATCAACTACAATATTTGACATGGTTAGTTTCAGTTAGAATAATACGACATTAGAGTTTTTTCTTGTTCACCCTGTTTAAATGAATAGTTATAAAGAATTACCAAATGGAAAGAAAAAAATTACAAGAAAAAACACGTTTATTTCTTCAGATTCACTTCCTGAAATGTTGGCACTTATTCACTTACAATCTGTACAGGGTGGCGCCTCTCATACGCCGCGGAAGCTCCAAGGAGAACGGTAGTTTATATCGAAATGAAATTTTGGCAGCATATGTAGGTTGATTGAAAGCATTTTATAAAAATATGTAGAGTTATACAGGGTGTTCCCAAAAAAAATAACACATCAAAGTTGTGTTTTTTCTAATGGAACACCCTATATATTAATCGATTTTCGGATTCTAGGAAAAAAATGAAGGTGAGTTTTATTAAAGAGGTATATACCTAAAATCTAAGGATTTTGACATATTTCACATTTTGTGAAAATGAGTAAATTTTAAATTTCGGTAACAGCTACCTAAATTGTACTTGACCTTGTATAGCCTGATATTTAATTACAGTAACCATTGTATGTTAAACCAAATTGAAATTTGAGCCGAAAAGTTAAACAGGGTGAGACAAAATTAATATGGAACATTAGTCACTTTTAAAAGAAGTTACTCCTTTATTTTAAATGGAACACCCAGTATATTATTCCGGTGTTCAATGGGGAATTTATATATCTTCAAAATATTATTAAGGCTGCCTGCCCCTTAGACAAAGATTTTCCTAGATATTTTATTTTTTATGATATTGCGTCAGTAGATCTTTATTATTTGAAAAAATTTAGGAGATGGCTGTAATATACCTTTTGTTAATTTAACAAAAATTAAAGATTGTAGAGTAAAATATTCAACGGTAATAAAAAGATACACGTTTAAAACATATTTTAATTATTACAGAATTAAAACTAGATATAAACCTATATAATAATTATGTGTCAAAAATTAGCTAGATGAAATCAAATGCTCAAAATGCTCACTTTCCTGTTAAATGCTTAACATCACTGTCTTTTCAAAAGAATATTTTCATTTTAAAAGGCATATGTGGAGTTCTACCTCGAAAAGTGTCTACGATAATTTCTCTCATGTTGTCGACAATAGTTGATCGAGTTTTGTAAATACTGTCTTTAATATATCCCCATAAAAAATCAGGAGTATTCTATTAATTGCATTCACCACACTGCATTCACCAACTAATAGAAATCAATCCTCTCTGATGTAGGATAAGTTTGCATTTTCGACAAATTTCTGAGAATTTTTTTTTGTTTTAACTGACAAAATGATAACAAGTTGTTAAAGTTAGACTAATTAGACAGCTATGTTCAAGTAACGTCAGACCATATCACAGCCACATAGATTTTATCAAATAATAAAGATCTACTCGGATCAAATCATGTAAATGAAAATATCTAGGAAAATCTTTGTTTGAGGGGTAGACAACCTTAATAGTATTTTGAAGAGAAATTAATTCTCCATTGAATATCGGAATAATATACTGGGTGTTCCATTTAAAATAAAAGAATAAAATAGTTTTGAAGGTAACCAATATTTAATATTAATTTTGTCTCACCCTGCATAACTTTTTGGATCAGGTTTTAATAGTTATTTTAACTATATATCAGGTAAATTCCAATTTAGGTAGATTTTAGTAACTTTAAGTAATTATTATTTATTTATTTATTTTATTAATTTAGGTAAGTTTAGTAATTTAAAAATTGTTCTTTATTTCTAGAAAATGTTAAATATGTCAAAAACCTTACATTTCAGTCATATACTTCTCTTATAAAACTCACCTTCATTTTTCTCCCAGGATCCGAAAATCAATTAATATATAGGGTGTTCCATTACAAAAAACACAACTTTGATATGTAACTTTTTTTGGGGACACCCTGTAGAACTCAATATTTTTAAAAAGTGCTCTGAATTAAACCTACATATACTCACAAAATTATATTTATTTCAAACTGTCGTTCTCCTTGGAGCCTCCGCGGCGTATGAGAGGCGCCACCCTGTATAATATAAGCAATGCATAATTTTACTGTATTTAAAATACTCACTGCATCTTCGCGAACTGCTCCTTCACAGAAAAGACAAGTTAATCGTGTGACTTCATCTAGGAGAGTATCATGTATTAGTGGTTCTGGTAGTTTGTAAAAATCACCAACATAAAACATTACGATTTTTCTGACAATACTAGATATTCCAAGAGACTCCTTGTCTTTTATTGTTACACTAAAAATTGTTTCGTTTATTAGAAAATTATTTTAAATAAACCTAAACAATCAAAACAATTTCTCTTCAAAGTATTACAATATTTATTTCATAAATCGATTTCCTGTGTTGTAGTTGTAAGATAAATTATATATACCGGGTGTTGCATCGTCGGACGGGACATAGGAAATCCCATGTAAATTTTAATAGGTTCAATTATTGGCTTCCCTAATTATTTCAGAGAATAATTCTATTTAGGTTTATTGAAGAGCACTAAAAGCCACATTCAAAAGAATAACTTTAGATATTTTTGATTAGCTCGTTTACGAGTTATCGCCGATTTCTTTTTAAATATTTCTCCTTTCTTATGGCCCTGTATTTACTTATGAGCACCAGTCAAGGTAAAAGATAACTGTCAAATGAAGTTGTTATTTCAGAAATTTACCTATTTAGTGCTTTATTATTATTGAAAACTCATTCCTACATCGGAAATCTTAAAGATGTATTTATAAATACAAATTAATATGAATTAAAGTAAAATAAAGTAATCAATTACAAGGTTAATTATAGTATTATTACAATGTTCAATAACTTATTAATTTAGGTACTATTAAATTGTTAGAACTTTAGGATTTAAGATGTTCAAATATTCCTCCATCGACTGCTAGACAATAACCCAAGCGATCATAAAATTCTCTTCGTACATTCGCTAGTTGGTAAACTGAAATTCTATTGCATTCGGCAGAAATAGCATTTTTAACTCGTCTAGATTTGGGTATTTTTTATCCTTGTATATCCTGTTTTTTAAATGGCCCCAGAGAAAGAAATCATTTGGCGAAATATCAGGAGACCTTGCTGGCCAATTTACTGTATCATTTAAGCCAATAACGTTTCCGTTAAAACTATTGTCTAAATATTCCCGAACAGCCAGGGTACTATGTGCCGGGCAGCCATCCTTTTGGTACCAAACTTCCTGATTTTCCCTAGCGGCATCATATAAAACAGGTAAATATGATTTTCGAGTAGTTCCAAATAGTGATGGAAATACCGGTTCCACATGAGTCGCGTTACAATAGCGACAGTTCCAGAAAAATACCGCGATTTTGTAATCGAGGTTCCAACTTCCTAAGTGTCGCGGTTCTCGCTTATGTAGTTTTTCTGGCATTGGTACCTACTTTTATTTTATACTACCTACCTAGTCCCACAAACCACTGTCAAAAAAAATCTTTATTGGTGACCGGTTTCGGCAATTCCAGCCATCATCAAACCTTAAAAATAGATATAAACAATAAAACTTATATAAATGTATAAAAGCAAATAAAATTTTCATTTTATTTTATTTGCTTTTACGTTTCATCTTTCAAACAACGCTATTTTATACCATGCTTAGTACATACCAAAAATCGCTATATCAAAAGTAACGTAGCGACGGGAGCACCAACGCCAATAGTAACCGACTCAATCGCTACAGGCGAAAACGAAACACTAGAAGCGCTCCAGCGACTGCTGGAACGAAGTAAGCCGCCTCCGAGGGCGAGCGTCGATAGCCAGTTACAGCAGTTACTTCTGTTCGCGACAGGGAACTAAAACTCCTGGAGCGCGACGGCTGGAGCGAAGTAGGCCGCCGAGGTCGAGCGTCGATACCCAGTTACAGCAGCTACGCGACAGGGAACTACAACTCTACGAGCGCGACGGCTGGAGCGTCTGGAGGGAACACGCCGCCGTCGCCATCGAGATCGCCCGACGCTACGTACAGTTCCAGTAACTATTGTAGGCGACCGACGAAATCGCGACGGCTGGAGCTAAACACGTCGCTATGCGGTTACTACGGTTCAAACTAACTTTAAGAGCGGTTATAAATAATTTATTTGCAAATTATAAATAATTTATAATGTTGTCGTCATTATGATCGACGTAGTGATGGGCAAAACTGTTATTTTTAGATAACAGTTGAAACTGTTATAGTTATTTATAAAAAACAGCTTAAAATAACAGCTTCAAAATAACAGGTTTCTTTATTTTATTGCTAAATATCTGAAAGAATATGAGGCGGTCACCGCCAGGCGTATTAACGCAGTTGCAACAATGACGTGCTCGGTGGTGGTATTTCCAGGGTGTCATAACATTTCTAAATATCGATTGTTATCTAAAATACCTCTCTAAAAACGGGGGTTGTTTACAAATAAGCGCTGTTTACAAATTGCGATATAAAAAAGCCAAAATGCCGCCGCCACTCGTCTATATCTATAAATTCCGATCTACCTACGCCCTACCCCTCGATCCGCATCCGCATACAGTGTACAGGGTGCATCTCACTCGACGGGCGAGAAGCTCTTCGTTATAATTTAACCGTTTGCGGTCAAAAAATAGCAATATAAGAAAATGTGTAGTATATTCTTCATAAGTAAACCAACTACACACTAGAGTTCGAATTAATTTTACACTTAAACTAGCATGTACAGTTTGACAAATATAGGAAGAGACTTGGGGATAGCACCGGTCGCGCACACGATAGAGAGAGAACGCATTCGGCGGAAGAGAGATGCAGTTACGCTACGAAAAATCTGATTGAAGCAAATTTGTGGGATGTCCACTGCGCATCGGGGGGCGTCTCTTATTTTATATTTCTCACGTCTCTAGCTATACTTGTTAAGTTGTACCCGCGACTTCGTTCGCATCGAATTATTAATTTGTAATGGTGATGATAAAGCAAAGCAAGAATTTCCATTAACATACAAACTGGATAAAATTTTCTCACATTTGCCAAAAATATGCTTTAAACGTCGAGCAGTTTAAGCAGAATCGTGGTTAATCAATTACTCAACTTTTTGGAACACCCTGTATTATTTTTTAAAAAATTTCAAAATATGTAAAAAAACAAAATAAATTATGCGTGTCCAATCGTTTTCCCGAAAGACTAACCGTTTTTTAAATAATAAATATTGTAATATTTGAGGGGCGTTTTCACCCTCTTGGAATTTGAGATTCGAGAAACCCCTCCTTATCGCACCTCTACACCCCACAGTCAATCCGTTTACCAAAAATCAGCTTTAAACGTCAAGCAGTTTAAGCAGAATAGTGATTACTCAGTGGTCATATTTTATGAAACACCCTGTATATATTTTGTAAAAATCTCAAAATATGTAAAACAACAAAATAAAATATACGTGTTTAAGAGTTTTTTCGAAAAACTCACCAGTTTTTAAATAAAAAATATTCTAATATTTGAGGGTGGTTTCACCCCCTTAGAATTTGAGTTTCGAAAAATCCCTTCTTATCGCACCTCTACACCCTAAAGTCAATCCGTTTTCCAAAAATCAGCTTTTTACGTCAAGGGCTTTAAGCAGGATCGTGATTAATCAATGACCAGATTTTTCAAAACACCCTGTATACATTTTTAAAAAATCTTAAAATATTATTCTGAAAATTTTTCAGAATAAATAAATACTTAAATATTGAAACTTAATAACAAAGTATTGAAACATACAGCGCCATAATATCTCGACCTCCGCCCGTTATGCTCGTAACAGGTTGAAAAACAATATGTATCTAAAACAACTGATGCGTTATTCTCCAACCTGTTTCAAACCTCCGATTATCTCGAACGCCGTTCTGTTATGCTCGTAACAGGTAAAAAAACAACATAGCTAAAACAACTGATGCGTTATTCTCCAACCCGTTGCGAGCCTCCATCGACAATCGACCGATGCAGCAGCGCTCCTTTCCCACTCCTGTTATCTCGACAGCCAGGCGTTATGCCCGCAACTGTTTCAAAAAAGCTGCTTCTTTTATATCCTATTATTTTTAAGCTGTTGTCAGCCCAACACGACGCGCCGCGCCGTAGCGCATACCCCACTCCGTTGTCCGTTGTATCTCGCCGCCTGTATCGATGGTTGTCGAAATAATAGGTTTTCCATCCATACTAGTTGTTTTTTGGAATTGCTTCGAGCAGCATCGAATTTCGTGGCGGTGCAGAGCGCCGACTTCGTTTCACGAACACTCGATCTCTGCGTGTCGTTATTTTATATCTGTTATTTTTTAAAAGCAGTAACGGTTGCGTTATGTTATTTCTAAATAATTGTTATAAAATAACAGATAGTTAAATAACAACCCATCACTAGATCGACGTTCTTCAGTAACAGGTTCCCCATTCGTTGTGGAGCGCGATACGGCGTTACAAAGAAATACCGCTCCAAAATCGCGTTACTCAAATACCGACACATCACTAGTTCCAAATAATATTCTGCATTTAAATTTCGCGTAAGAAATAATGGCCCGATAATATTGTGTCCGAATATCCCTGCCCAAACATTTACTTTCTGTGGATATTGCGTCCTTGTTTCGACAAATCTGTGTTGGTTTTCTTTGTTCCAATATTGATAATTTTGAACATTGGGTTCATTATTTAAGGTAAACGTGCATTCGTCAGTGAAACATATGTTTTTTAAAAATTCCCTATCCGTGTTTGCTCTTTCCATCATATCAAAACACCTGCCGCCGTATTTCGTCCCCATCTCGTAGCTCTTGGTGCTTTTCATATTTGAAGGAATAGTATTTATGTCGTTTCAAAATTCGAAACGCTGTAGTGTGATCTATTCCTATTTCATCCTCAAGTTTCCTTGTGCTGATCTTTCCATCGTTCTCTTCCACGCACAATAAAACTTCCAAGTCGGTATCATTTCTTGCATCTTCTCTTTGTTCCTGCCTTGCTTCACATCTGCAGTTATTTATTAGGGTACCTTTGGTCTCAAATCTCTGGATATTCCTTGCGATTGTAGATTTTCCAGGTATCGGTCTATTCGGATACAGAGCAGCAAACATGTCCGACACCTTTTGATAACTATTTCCTTGATAATACCATTTAATCATCAATACTTTTTCTTCGGTAGTGTAATTCATGGCTAATATTTTCGATGTAGGTATGAGTTTTTAATAATAATAATAAAGCACTAAATAGATAAATTTCTGAAATGACAACTTCATTTGACAGTTATCTTTTACCTTGACTGGTGCTCATAAGTAAATACAGGGCCATAAGAAAGGAGAAATATTTAAAACGAAATCGGCGATAACTCGTAAACGGGCTAATCAAAAATATCTAAAGTTATTCTTTTGAATGTGGGTTTTAGTGCTCTTCAATAAACCTAAATAGAATTATTCTCTAAAATAATTAGGGAAGCCAATAACTGACCCCATTAAAATTTACATGGGATTTCAACACCATTTATATTAGATACAAGTACTTGGGTTCAGAGACATTTTTTGTTTGAAATGCATCAAAAACAATAGGAGGGGAGGACAAATAACCGAAACTAAAATTTTGTACGCCTACCCGGTCCTCCGGGCCGCCACTGAGTTAGACAGAGACAGAAGACTGTCGTGCGTCGTCAATTGATTTTGATAGTGCTAGAACAGGCGATGTAGATATCGCCTAACAAAGGCGTTTGCAGTATACTCCAACGGTGAAAATTATTTTGTCTTCTAACGCAATAACGTCGACGGCGACGCAGTCAGCGTACGCCAGCGGTAGTGAATATTTTAATATACCAAAAATATTAAATTAATATTGATTATTACAACACACCTTCAAATTAAATATATTTGGATCCGATGGTATATCGTGGATACAATACATGACCCAGAAGGAAAAAGATTTGTTCAAAAGTATACCACGGCCACTGTAAAGCATGGTATGGGGATGCTTATCGGGCTATGGCATGGGACCACTGGATGTAATAGAAGGAACAATGGATCAATTTATGTATTTTTTTTGTCTGAATGAATTCGGGTTATGGACTTTCCTGCTCAAAGTCCAGACCTTAACCCCATTGAAAACCTGTGGGAGGAACTAGATCGCCGGGTAAGACGAAGTCACATTAGCAATAAGAAAGACTTGATAAGAATTTTGAAAGAGGCATGGAATTCCATTGAACCAGATACCATAAGACTATTGGACTCCATGCCAAAGCGATGTCGTGAAGTTATAGCTAATCATGGTTACTCTACCCATTTTAAATTTTATTAGGTTAGCAACAACTAAGTACTTGTAATTTTTATATTAATTTTTAGTTTCTCTATTTTTGTACCTATAGTTTTTTATTTAACTGAATAAAATTCTTAAATTTTCGTGAGACATGTGATTATTTAATTTAAATAAGAACTATTTAAGTATCTTTAATTTTAACAATGCATAAAATGGCCTCAGTCCCTGCTTTAACAAAGACTCAATTTTAGAAAGTTTCTCTACTTTTGTCCGATAGTGTATAGTTCAATTTTATTTATAAGCTATAAGGTCATTATAATAAGTTATAAAAATGCACCCACCACCATTATCTCAATCTAATTGTTCCCCATAAGTACTTACTTTGATACAAGTTTAAAAAAATTTACTAAATAACTATGTAAATATTTTACTCTATTCGGTACATTGCTTACAACCGCGCCACTTAAAGTGGCTAGTTGAACAAGGCATGTCATTGCATGATGAGCTAGTTCATCTACATCTCGAACCTATTGGACAAAAAATATTTATTAGATTTTACTTTTAGTATAGTTCTTTTTTAATAACATACCTTCCAATAAATTTGGAACATTAAAGGCAAAAATTCTGGGTTAAACATTACTTCTCCCCAAGCGCTACTAAGTTTTAACGCGCATGATTGGTCAGACTCGTAAACAGACTCATATATTCCAATAAGTCTTTTGGGCAGTAAAAACTTAATTAAGGAAAATTTATTGGTTAAACAGTAAATTTCGGAAACTAAAAAAAACTTAAAAACATTTAAAAAGTGCGAATCTAAATTATATACTACGCTTGGATGTATTTCAGAAAAATATTTTAACCGTTACAGGGTGGCTGTGGCTCATAAAAGTGAGTGGAACGGGATGATTTTTTTTAAATGGAACACCCTGTATATTATTGCATTTTCGGCTTCTTTTCAGATCACTTTACATAATCCTAAGATATGAGTAAATATATTTCGATAGTTTCAGAGATATTAATAAATAAATAAAAAATATAAATTTTCAGCCTTTGTTAAAAACATATTTAAAATACAAGAACTGTATTAAGGTCTCATATCTCTAAAATGCCAAAAGGTTTTGTTTTGAAATTCCAGAAAAAAGTAGCTTCCAAAAACGTTTAAAATTCATACAAATAAAATATGATGGAACAAGCCTATTGCAGGATAATGCAGTAGTAAAAAATAATCTTAATATATCTTATGTACCCTCTAGAATAAAAATAAGATATAAAATGCTTGTTGGGAATATTTGTGTGTATGAGAAAAAAGACTGATTTTGTCTGAGAGGCAATGCCACATTATATGCACACCACTGCTATAAAATATATGATTCTAACTGAACTATAGGGGTTTGAAAACCTCACTACTGTAATAAACATTTTTATCTGTAGGTAACCTTCAGAATCATTATGTATAAAAAGGATATAAATTGCTGATACGTTTCCCCAAGTAAGTATCCTCTCAGTTATTTGAAGTAGGTGTCTTGTTAGCTGAGCCATAATACCATCATAAGGTGGATCATTTTTTACAACTTCTGAAATTAAATATACACAAAATTGGAAAATTCTCTTCAAGTCAGTAGCCTCAAATTGCTTTTTTGCTTTGAAATGGACTTCCCAAGGTAAACCAACATCAGCTGATTTCACAGTAGTAGCATACTCTTGTATTAAATTGGTAATGATATAGCAACCCAAAAGTTTCTAAAAACAATATATTTAATATGTATTCTATAAATACCCAATTCAAGAATCACTTTTTCTGATTCCCCATTTATGATTAGATTTTCAACTTCCTGTAATATGACTGCCCTTTCTTTGCCCTTGTCATCTATACTGGTTCGTTTGACCATAATGGCAATAACTTGTATTATTCTATCTCGTACAAAATGAGGCACTTCATGTGATGTTATATATTGTACTAAATACTGCCTTAAAGATGATCTATAAAAGGCAAAGATAAATAATCCAAATTCAAAAAGAGAGTTGTTATAATTATGAGAATTACCTGTCTGTATCAAGCAAAAAAGACCATTCACGTATAATCGCTCCTTTAAGAACTTCCGCAGCCTCAAACATAACATATTGATTTTGCGAATTTTCTAAAATTTCTCTGCACAAACCGTACGGCGATTTGCTTTTTCTGAAATTCAAGAAAATACTTTCGGCTGAGTGTCTTTGTTCGTTTGAAACAATGTCTGGAGGGGCCTAAAAATAAATCTATAGTTTTTATACTTTTATTTTCATGTACAACTTACCATTATAATTTGCGCAGCTGCTTCTAGTTCGCTAATAGCTTGAGCCGACATTTTTAAAAAGATATTTTTTATTACTTAAGGTATTTAATTTGAATTACATTAGAAAGTATATTTTGATTTGCAAGAAAAGTGCCCAAAATTTTGGATAAATATTAAATGTCTTCTTTTAGCCAAGTAGGCCGATTGAACAGAATCTTCTTCTTAACATGGATATTCAACCATAGATAAGTGACAAACATTAATGGTTTGTTTGCTTTATGTCTTTTAGGTCTTGAGCGTCATCGTTCGGTTATCTTCGTTATCACATTTATTAGGAATATTTGTGCATTGTTGTCAATTATTAGATTATGTGGTATTTTCAACGTATCAATAAAATTTTAAATGAATAATAAAAATATGGTATTTTTGGTTAAATTGTGAAATGAGTTTAAATCTATTATAAGGTATAATATATATCACCTTCTTTTGAAATAATATATTATGTATATACATACATTTTTTTAATAACTTGTAATAAATAAATATATGAAAGGTCTGGGGAAAAAAGCTGGTATAAAAAAATATGTCAATTTTATTACTATATTTAAATATTCGATGCATTCGGTTCAGAGTGAGTGTAAGCATCTTTAGGAACCGCTAAACTGGGAAAAAATAGCCTATTAAGGCAAGACTTTTTCAGACAGGTTTAGACTAAGCACTAGGCGCATGCAAGACTTGCGGCTTTTTTTTTTCATGTTTCATAGTACCGTATGATCGAGAAAAAACGGCGTCAACGATGGCTATGAAATGAAGATCGCTGTCATTTTATATGTAAATTTATATGGGAAATGTCATCGATCGTCATTTCCCAGCCAACTGGACGCCATTTTTTTTCGATCATACGGTATAATAAATTAGTTATTTGTTTAAAATTATTGTTTTAATTTATTACAATAAATACTATTTTTCGATAATTTTAATTAAATACCAATTGTCGTTGACGTAAAATTCACAAATTTTACAAATGCAATAATTGCATTTCTAATTGCGTCAATTATTAGGCGCCAAATCTCTTACCCCTTACAAAATACTATAACCGGCAACATTGCAGTAGTGTTTATAAATGGCGCCAAAACGAATACAACCGAACGCAGATCATAAATGTCAATCACCTAAAGCCCCGTTCTCAGAACTGCGTCGTGTCGACAGCGACACTGATTGACACTTCAAACGACCAATGGGAGCTGTACTAAATTTAAAATTGACAGCTGTTTGAATTTTGTACAAATCTCATTGGTCCTCTTCATCTTGACGTGTCGCTGGCGACAGTCGCTGTTCTGAGAACGGGGCTTAAAGGCCCTAAAAAAAGCACACATTTATCTGTTGTAAACGTCTTGTATGCGAGCTTTTCTTTTGATCCTAACCTAGAAATTTTCTTTCAAAAGCGTTTTTTTGGCATTTTGTTTTGTAACAGAGTTTGTAACAAGTTTTTAGAATACAAATTTCGCTGTTTATTAGCTATTCGTTAAGTCTAAGTTTATAGGTGGCAATACACGTTAAAAAGCTAACGATTTAATAGCAAGTCGGAGAAGCTTGCTAAGTTGAATTTCCTCCTAACTATATAGTATAATACCTAGATCTAAGACCTAGATACTATGCATCGAAATAAAAACCATGTCTATTATGAGAAGTTACACTTTAGGAAAAAACTTTCTGATGACAGAAAGAGGAAAACATACGTAGCTGCATGTCTTTTTTGCCATACCGAAGTTAGAAACACCAGTTATAGTGGATTAATACAACACAGGTAATAAGAAACAAATATATATTACTCTATACTATTTCTGAACTATTATGTTAAATTATTTTTTATGTTTAGGATTGTATGTAAGAGAGAACAACATAAATTTTCACCGGCAATTGGAACTGGTGTAGTAACAGCTGTTACGAATGCTACAAAAGATCATACAGAAAATGTTTCTAATGGTAGTACTAAGAAGAGAAAACTAGATATTCAATCCAAAATCGTTAATGATACTAAACAGAACCTTTCTCCACTTCCATTGTCTACTGAAGTTTGCAAGAAATTAGGTTTTGGTTTAGTCGATCAAGTGAATGATTCAAATCAAAAAATATATTTTGCCTTGTGTTTGGTGTGTAGCAAGATTATGACAAATATCACATCAGAGAAGCTAATGTCACATAGGTATGTATAGCATGGTATTTTATGTGAAAGTAAATGAGTAATAACATATTCGCATAGATAAAAGACATATGACTGAGTTTATTTATGGTTTTTATTTCTTTATTACATACAGGGGGGTAGTATGTAATTTTAAAATTTTGAATCTTATCGATATTAATAAGATATAATATAACAACAAACAAAAAATATGTAGTGTTTGTACTAAAAAAAAATGCAAAGTATTAAATCTTACGTATAGTAGATACATTATAGGGATACACTATTTGTATTATTATTATTATTATAAATGACATGAAGAACAAGTTAATATCACACTCTGATTACTAATGTACCGTATGATCAAAAAAATGGCCAGTTGGCTTAGAAATGAACATCGATGACATTCCCCATATAATTGTACATATAAAATGATAGCGATCTTCATTTCATAGCCATCGTTTTTTTTGATCATACAGTATTAGACTAATGTATAAATTTAATTATTGTCACTTTTAGGACAGTATGTTATTCTGAAAGGTATTCATTGTCACAAGACTTATTCGATGTGATAAGTGATGATGATTCTAATACTTTACATTCAGAAATTCAGGAAAAAGAAGTAAGTTAGGCTTATTAATTGATTTAATATTTTCTTCTAAACTTAATTTGTAGGATAAGAGACAGATTAATCAGTCTAAGGTTAATAAAAATAAGTCTCCTAAAAAAGTTGAAGAAAAACCTGCTTCTTCAGTCCATTTACCACAAGCTGTTGCCAATTTCATATTTAGTACAAATTTGCCATTCGACATTTTGCAGTCAGTGCAGTTTCAGAGACTGATTGAAATTGCCAATCCCGATTTAATTTCACAAATTCCATCTACCGACTCGTTAGTTAAAGAGACACTCGATAAAGTTTATCAATGTTGTTTAGAAGATGTAAAGAAAAAGTGGCAACATTCTGAATCAGTTTTAGTAATAGGGATGTTAAACCTTGATGACAACCACAGATATTTTGTTGCGCTTCTAAGAAACGCTTTGGACGGCGAAGAAGCATTAATTAATAGTAAGCGTATTAAAGCACATGAGAATATTGAAGAGAACATGAGTATAATGGCGAAAGAATGTATATCAATTGTTAGTTCTTCTCTAAATACAGACATATACGCTGTAATAATGGAAAAATCAGTTGAAGCGCCAAAAAGAAATGATGTTGGTCCATGCTACATTACATGTCATAGGCACATAGCAAGTACTCTCCTGTCTGGTCTTTTGGATATTATAGATGTCAAAACTTGTCTATTTAAAGTACAATGTATAGTTGAAGAATTAAAAAAAGTTCAAATTAAAGGTAATTTAATATATAAAAAGTCAGAAGTTAATTTTCAGGTGGATAATATATTTTTCTTGGTAAATAACTGGAGTGTCATAGAAGAATCTCTCAATGATTCTCAAATAGTTAACAGAAATATCTTAGATTTAAGGTCGGTTCTTACTGATAGAGAATTTAAAGAATCTTGTGAAGACTATGTTCATAAATTCGTTCTTGTTCAAGGTTTTATAAAAAATCTTAGTTCATCAAAGTGTTCTTTGGCAAACGCAAAGATTTTGTGGAACAATCTGCTGAATAATCCTTTGATACGACATTCAGATGTAATTTACGCTATAGCAAAAAGTAAATTTGAACAAACTAATAACTTCTATACAATGTTAGCATATTATTTTGGGGAAGGAAGAAATAAAGAGTTTACTAAAAAAGAACAAGAAGAAATTTCACTCTTCATAAAGAAATCAATTCCTCAAAAAGCTTTGAAGGAGTATGACAGGTTTGAAAGTGAGATTTTAGAACTAACAGATGCAAGAGATGAATATTATTCGTGTGAAGATTTTTGGTCTTCAATTGCTGAAGATTTTCCCAACATTTGTCAATTAGCTTTTAGAATTTTATCTATACCGGCTTCGGTTGGAGATTTGAAAACAGAATTTTCACATTTCTCACAAAACTATCATGCTTTGGATGATGAACAGTGCAAAAAATTAATTTTTATCTATTTTAATTTAAGGAATAATTTTGTCGAGAATGTGTCAAATTAAAAATACTTTCGTTTACTTTTTTTATATGTATATGTAATAGATATTTAAGACTAATAAATTTTTTTTTAATAGTTGGCTTTAAATCTTTTTACCTAATTGTCATAGTTTTAGGTGGTTTTAGCTACTTGTGTCTAGCCCTAGCAGGCAACTATTAAGCCCGACCAATCACGTTAGAGTTTTTGACAAACTCGAATGAATTAACACACTCCAAATAACCACGCTAACCAACCTGATTGGTCAAGCTTAATAGTTGACTGCTAGGACTAGACACTTCTGTTTTAGCCTTGTCACGGCCTTGTTCTAGTTAATTATTTTACTGGGTTATTTAAGTATTATCTGACATAAAAACATCTAAAATAAGATCTACCTACTAAATCCTAAAAAATAGAATCACCGTCTCAGTTTTTTTTATCAAATTAATTATCTATAATATCATCAGAAATTTTCGCAATCTTATTTTGGATGTTTTTATGTCAGATAATATTTAAATAACCCATGAGGTGCGCCACCCTGTATAGTATATTTCGACCCCAGAAACATATCTATGAGTTTTTTCGCAAAATAAATTTTTGATTTTTTTAAATTTTTAGTTAAAAATCAAAATATCTTCATAATATGGCAACATAGATAGTAGATTACATTTACAGTGCATTTACAAGAAAAAAAAAGATCTAGCGGTTCTTAAAATTTAAGCGAAAAATAATTTTATTTTTTGAAATTCTCAATGTAGTCTCGGTTATTTTGGAGTCAATTGAAAAACGATAAAGAGAAAATATATTTATTTTATCGAGATTTACCAGCCCTGGATATATTTGCACTAATTAAGTAAGACCCTGTATAAATTAAAAGAGAAAAATGATACTTTTATCACGGCTTTTAGTGAATTTGTAAATAGTAATTTTATTTATGATTGAGTCCATAACTGAACGGTGCTCAACAATGTAGGTACTTCCATGGTACTTCTACGTAGAAAAAGTATGTAACGATCATAGACAGCATAGGTCAGTCTAGTTGTGAGTCTAGTTACTTATTCTATGGTTGGTGGTTAGACTGGTCTGTTGCAAGGCCTGTTGATTTGTGCTGATGAAATGTCAGATGTCAACCATTGTAATCAGCTGATTAGTGTTGTCAAAAACATAACCATCAAACATGTGAAATTTGGTTCATCTCCCAATGTATTTTTGGAAAGCTATATTTGGATTAAATATTTATTTGACATGTACATTATCATTTACAGCAGTTATTGGTGATTATTTAACTCTTAATTTCTCCGACAGTCCTATTGTCAAAGCCGCATTAGACAATGGCACTCATTTTATTATAGGAGGATTTTCTTGGTTCATTTTTTATTTAAATTCGGATAAAATTGATTGTTCTCTACGGCAAATTGTCGCGGAAATATTTTTGTGCGCTCTAATGTCATCATTAATAGATTTAGATCACTTTATAGCTGCCAAATCATTTTTTCTCAAAGTAAGTTAAGCATAAATCTATAGTTTTTCTCACTTAACTTTTCTTCATTGTGACATTTGATATTATATAGTAACGCTATCGGTGGACACGTAAAATACTTACTTAGGCATTTATATACAAATGTGTCCTCAGTCAGAGTGTAATGAATATATTTTGAGTTACGGTGCCTATTACGAATATTTCAATTTCATGTTTTATTGTTGAATATATATTTACTTGTGAGCTATTTCATATCCAACTACTTTACCAACATTGATTGTGGTGGACTGTATTCTGCCATATTGGGAAAAGTCATATGAGAGGAACTATATCTTATTTATATGTTATTTGAAGGTACATATCTACATACAGCTTTATATTTATTTGTTTTTTAGGATGCAATAAGATTACAGAAAAGACCTTTTCTTCACTGCTCAACTATTCCAATTGTAGGACTTTTAAGTCTATTACCAATGAGTTATGTCTTTCAAGTAAATGCTTTAAAGAGATTAACTTTAATATTTATCACAGCCTTTGTTTCACATCATGTTCGAGATGCTACAAGACGAGGATTTTGGTTTTACCCTTTTGGAACAACTGCTCCAATTCCTTACTTATTTTATATATTTTTGACATGTTTAATACCATTTATAGTTTTATTAATCCATAAGAATGTTAAAATTTCTACTGAGTCCAAATATCATAGAATTGAAATATTGTAATTTTGCTACACTGAGAGATTTTATGCATATATTTTAATATTTATTTTTTAAATAACGGACAAAGTTAATTTAATGCACAATTTATTTAAAATAGTATAATTTTACTGTGATTTTACTTGTATTGCAACTGTAAAATTATTTTCCAGGGGGAGCTTATTGATAAATAAATATAAGATATAATAAAACACTATTTTACTTTTAAGAACCACTATATTTCGTAATGGGTAAAAGCAAAAACAAAATATCACAGGTATTTCTACTAAACTAACAAAATAAAATATTCACCAATTAAAACACCAGAACCCAAATTACATTGGTAGTTTTTTATAAGTTGGAAAATCAATAAAATTGTTGACAAATATTAGTTAACATTTAAAAATATAATAACAATAATCATATAAATATAAAACAGTAAAAAAGCTTATGGTTCTTTTAAAAATCATTTGGGTAGGTAGTCTAACTACAAAAATATACAAAATATACATATGGGAATACATAACCCTTACAATATTTAATGCACTATTAAAGTTTAACAAAACAAAATATGAACCAAGTGTAGATATTTATGTTTTGTATTGAATAACTGACTATATCTTGCATAGGTATTACAGATTTTGGACAAAATATTCTAGTTAGTTCATATTTTCTTGTTCTAAAAGCAGTTTGACTGCTACTTTAACAATGTCCAGAACAATTCCATTAAAAATATTAACAAAAGTTCATTCTTAACCAAATGTCTTTCCAAAAATTCAGTCCCTTGCTTGTATAAACACTCTCTATCTTTCACACTCATTTCTGCTCCTGTCGTATCATTTTTCTTTTATCACAAAAACTAAAGCCAATTTCAAACGAATAACTGTTGGTTATGGTTGACAGATAAACAATGCTTTAAACGTCAGTTGTCAACCAATCGCTAGACAACTGACGTTTAAAGCTTTCTGTCAACGATAACCAACAGTTATGCGCTTGAAAATGGCGTAACAGTAACTCTTCTTTTTAACAAACATATTTAAAACCGGTTTATTTGTGAGCTTCATTGTAAACATTTTTTATCGTGCTGTATTTTGTTGTGATCATTTAATAAGCCAGTTTTAAATATGATCATAACATAGAAATTAATATTTATCATAGGTAAAACAGAATTTTAAGTACAGCATAAGTGTTCTAAGAACACTGTAAATGCAGATATAAAGAGAATTAAATTGGAAAATCTACTGAATATATTTTAGACCGTTATAAGTTACCTAATCGTGGAAGTTTTAATATAGGATGGTATATCCCTTGTACTATCCATTTTTTTATGTACGGAGTCTTACTGCACTTTTTTTTAGTTGTAAGCAACCAAAAAGAACTTAAGATCTTTTAAAAACTAGTGTTAAAAACAAATATATACTTAAAATGTTCCCATACTGGCATCCCAGTGCCTACAATTTGTTCTCTTTTCACTTAAATATTCCTATTATATATAAATAAGTTCTATAAACAATTATTAACACCAAAGACTAAAAAAGTAACGTATATATAATATATAACAAATAAAACACTCACCTACACGAAAAACGGGCACTTTAAAATTTTCATGTATTTTAAAGTTTTATATATTATGTTCTAGTTGACCGATTTTGCTGATTTTTTAAGAAATTTGTAGCTAAATTATTTGACTATTTAGTATCTCTTTTTAAATTAAAAATGAAAGTTGTCATCTGTCAATTATACGAGGGAAAAAAATGTTGATATTTTGGTGAAAGTTTGAGTCTCTACTAAAGTAAACGTCAATCAAAACGTCAATAAACAATAATAATATGATTTTTCAATGACAGTGACATTACAAAAATAATAAACACTATTTTATAAGTGTGTTAATGAGGACCCAAAATCAATGCTAAAATTCCTTTAAATCGTTACTGTCTTACTCAAAAGCGAATATCTCCAATAAAAATAAAACTATTGAGATGAATAAAAAAACAAACTATCGAGAAAAGACGCATCTAGATGTTAAGATTTTTAACTTCCTTGCTTTGTTAACATATTCCACAGGGTGTTTCAAACTTTCACCAAAATATGAACATTTTATTTCCCCTCGTATAAGTGACAGATGGAAACTGATTTTTAATTTAGAAAGGAATATTAAAAAGTCAAATAATCTAGCTACAAATTGCTTAAAAAATCACCAAAATCGGTCCACTGGAACAAAATATATTAAAGTTTTAAGGTGCTCGTTTTTCGTGCCGGTGAGAGTATATTATAGAACCCGAAATAAAATAAATAAATACAGAAAAATTTACAATGTCCATTTTACATTTATAGAAATTATCCTTATCAAAATATAAAAATATACAAGTTTTTAAATATCATTAAGACCTTCTAAAATAAAAGACACAAATCCGCTTATTTTTGAAGACTCCAAAAATTCCAATTTTTTGAAATGTGATAGGTATATTGAGCTTATGTTTTATTTTTACGGTGCTTACTTATGTCTAAAATTTAAAGAAAATTTTACTATATCTAGCTATTGCAAACTTAACTACTTGCGAGATCTAAACAATTGACATTGTCTAAGTAAAATTCTCCTTAAAATTTATATTTATTATTATGGCAATAATATTTGGCATTACTTACTCTAAAAGGGTGGTTTGTTGAATGTTATTAAAGTGCACAAAAACGTTTCTTCGGAATTTTAAAATTTCGTTTAGCCCGTAAAAGTTATTAAGATTAAAGTGTGGTATTTTTTATATTTATAAAAATAACTAAACCAGAAATAATTCTATATTGGCGATTTTTAATTATTTTGATCGTATATATTGTAGTTTTACTAACAGTTCATACAAATTTTTGCTTGCTACTGACAAACGTCCAACATCATAGATAAAGGAAACAAGTTTAGATTGGAATACTCAGCTTGCCGCCAAAACTTATAATTATTTTGGACCGCATACATTGTAGGGCACTGCTATAGCAGTTGCTAAGAACAACCGTAAACAAGAACAGAAATAATTTTCTCTTGTCAAAGTCAGAATCTTCAAAAATTATAAAATCTTTTAAAATTTAAATCGCCCTCATTGAAAAAAATACCGAAAAGTGTTTAAAGCGTCCATTTTCAAAGTAATTATTGCTATGTTGTGAGTTTAATGTTAATTTTATTCACTCAAACCCGTGATAATTGTGAAAAAGTGGCATTAAAAACTTAAAAAGCTGTGTGAACTGTGAACTGCAAAAAACATCGTGGACCGTGGCATAACATCGGTTTTCAATGTTTCATAGGTATTTCATACATGTCCTTATATAAAATAAAGTTTCTTATATATGCAACACACTGTAGTTTATTTAAAAAACTAAAAGAAAATAATAATACATTTGAATAAATAATATTTGGCGACATAATTCCGGAAAAAGCCGAACAGTCCCGAAATTATCAAAGCTTTGGAGAGCGACCGTTGTAAGAATAGCGCCAAATAGTATTTACATTGTACTTATGTGCACTTTCCAATCTAAACTTGTTTCTTTTATCTATATCCAACAAAAAAGTTGCAAATAAATAATGCTTTTTAACATTAAAATTCCAATCTAATAAGAATTTTGTATGTGAAGGAAGCTTTTCTATGTAACTGATGTATTATTTCAATAGAACTTAAGACGATAAAAAATAAACTCTACACTCAGTTGTCAGTGCCAAGCATAATTTCATGACTACCAGTAGCGGGAGTAAATACTTCAGGCCCTCTAGATTATACTTGTTTACGATCCTATGGTAACTGCAAGATCATAAACGCAGATAGATCCTTTTTTCTAGTTCTATTTCATTTGAAGTAAGATATCGTAGACTTCCAATTAGGTTTTGAAACAAAATTATTTCATAAATATTAAAATTTTAGACCTTATTAGAAAATATTTGCACTAACGTTATACGGAAAAGGTTCTCAGCTTTGGAATTATTAGATTAAACACAAAACGCGCAGGTTTTAGTAGTGACCATGCACAAAATAATTAACGACATTTTACTAATATTGCGCTAACTAGTATTTTTGACTGGTTCGGAGTGTGGTTCCGATTTGCTGGACTCCTCGGGTTTCGTTATCAGCAGCGTAGATAGTGCTTCCAGAGACTGCCTTACCTAGAAAGAAAATTAAAAAAAAAGATTAGGGTCTGAAAATGCATACTCTCTAGAGGTGGGCAAAGAATGAACGAGTCGTTCATTTGAACGAGTCTTAAAAATGAATCGTGAGATTCGATTCACTGCTTAGAATACGGTTCGTTCAATTGAATCGTGGCTAGCACGGATCTATAAATTTTGAACGAACGAGTTGTAAAAAAGAATCGTGAGAATTGAATCGGATTTGTTCCTACGGCTCGTTCGTTCAAAGAATCGTGAGAGTCGATTCATTGCTTACAATACGGTTCGTTCAATTGAATCGTGGCCAGCACGGATCCATAAAATTTGTACGATGAGACGTAAAAAAGAATCGTAAGAATTATTGTACCTGTATCATGCGTAAGAATTGAAACGGATCACAATGCGATCGTTCGTTTCTACGGCGAGGCGCGGCGGTGATACAGGCATAAAGAGAGTCGGGCACCAATATTTAGACCAGAACAAAAGCCCTATACAAACATTATGGGCATAACATGCAAACGATAAGAAAGTTATTTACATGAAAGAAACTTATTGAGACTGTGCTTAGTACGGGAGTATTTGTAATACTTTTAATTTTCACGTTAATATTTTTGTTAAAATAATATTTACTAACTACAAACCATTAAAAAAGGAGATACCACTAACTGTGACAACTGGAGAGGTATTGTTTTGTTAAACACCATTCACAAGATAATATCCTCTATAGTTCATTTAAGGTTAAACTCCTATATAGAGCCTACTCTGAGAGAAAAACAAGCTGGTTTCCGACCGAACCACTCGTGCATTGACCATATTAATACATTGCGCATTATCATAGCGAGAGCAATTAATAGAATTTAGGTCACCTTTATTCTTATTATCCATAGATTTCGTTAAAGCTTTTGACAGTATCCCCCATGCGATGGTATGGAAAACTCTAAAAGAAAAGGGTGTTCCGGAAAAACTGATTAATATAATCAAGGAACTCTACCGAAATACAGAATGCAATGTGCTGCACAACGGTAGAACCAGCGACAGTTTTACCTCAGGGACAGGGGTAAAGCAGGGTTGCACATTATCACCGCTTCTATTTAATATCGTGCTCGACAGCGTTTTGACTAAAGCCGCAGCAAATATTAGGGGAGTACAATGGACTGACATCGCATCTGACGGATCTTGATTATGCTGATGATATTTGTCTCACAACGCAATCTTTCAAAGACATGGAAGTGATGCTCAGACGCCTAAAAACAGAAGCTGATAAAGTAGGATTAAGCATCGACAAAACAAAATCAATGCGCATTAACACAAATACCAACACTCCATTCAATGTAGGAATCAAACATGTCGAGAATGTAACAGAGTTTACTTACCTGGGAAGTATTGTAACCGCAAATGCTGGCGCAAACGCGGATATTGTCAGCAGGATCAGAAAGGCGCAGCGAGCCTTTGGCCAACTAAAATCAGTTTGGACCTCCCGTCAACTCCTCATACAAACAAAATTACGAATATTCAATTCCAACGTCATACCAGTTTTATTATATGGCTGCGAGACATGGAGAGTGACAAAAATATCTATCAACCGCCCACAGGTGTTTATCAATCGCTGCTTGTGGCAATCGCTAATACTGCCTGCGAAAATACCGACATGCTTCATCTTACAAACCAACAAGAAGTAGGCATTGAAATCAGCAAAAGAAAATGGGGTTGGATAGGTCACACCATGCGCAAACCTGATAGTAATATAGCGAGATCAGCGTTGGAGTGGAATCCCCAAGGAAAAAGAAAGCAGGGACGACCTGCTCAAACATGGAGACGTTCCATACTGGATGAGCTTCAACAAGTAGGGTCAACATGGAAGGAAGCAAAAATAACTGCCAAAAATAGAACCCGATGGAGAGCTTGTGTTGAATAAATAATATTTGGCGACATAATTCTGGAAAAAGCCGAACCGATCCAAAATTATCAAAAGCTTTGGGTTGTATAGTGTCCCCGATATGGATTTTTGTAATTTACAACTGGGTACCTATTCTTGACATCGTTCGCTACTTTATGCGTATACGCATCAAGTGTATATATGGATTTTTCGGAAATGCAGGCGATATTTGAAGATGCGAGTGGTTCAGAATAGGTACCCTGGTTCAAATGAGGCAAATAACCTAACGAGACCCACGAGACCTAAGGTCTAACACAAAGGTCTGACATTTAGAAAATACCATCTGACACTGACAACATTATAGGATGACAACTTAAGGTACGTTTGGCATTGTTACCTGTTCAGTTTTAATTTATTACGAGAGTACTACTATTATTGGAATAAAAACATTTCAAATACATTTTATGTAGATATAGATATCGGTGATTTTATGTTTTCTCGGCTGTGTAATGGGTACAATTTGTATGATTCTCAATGTTAATTTTAAATTAGAGTTATTTTACCAAATCGATGACGCTAAAATTAGTTTTTTTGATTAATAAAAACCATTACGTATTAGATGATTCAGTCTAATAGCATGTACAACCTACCTACGTGTGTCATATAGTTGTTATTATTACAAATTCGTCCAAATTGATGAGGTAATTTAGAAATAGAATTTAGTTGTTTTAATTTTAAACTTATTTTTAAATGTATAAATAGAAATCAATTTATTTTTTATAACGAACATTCCGTGTAAGTTTTTCAGTCTCAAATATATTCACTATTTATAAATGTTATAAGTATTAACTTTATAATCGAAAAAAAAAGGTTAATAGGTTACCTGTGTCGGCAACACTGCGACCTGTGAGGTCTGTTGTGTTTCAAAATATCTCTTACTGATTAAAACAAGTGGAAACAGAGTCCTTCACAAATATATTTTGTTTCATGTACAGGGTGGGCCAAATTGGACGCTTTTAAAGGGAAACGCCCTTTTCTATAATAGGAGATAGACGAAAACTAATATGTGATTTTTGCTATGGAAAATTTTGTATTTTTATGAAACATTTCCAAAGCACCTGTTTTATATCTGTATTAGATATTTTTTTAATTCTTAATGATATATACCTTAGCAATCTGGTCCAGATTATTATCTAGAAAATTATTCACAGCATTAGCCGATTTGGAATGTAGTTGACTCTGCCATTGCAAAATATCGCTGTAAATATCTTCAGAAGCTGACACCAGTGAAGCGTCTTGAAGTGTAAAGGAATATCTGTAAAAAAGATAAATACTTACAAACATAATTCACAATTTTATGTTTAATTTTGGTTAGTCAAATGAGATTAAATATACCATATCAGCAAGCTACATGTGTAGATAATTCACCTCTACACAAAAGTGCTTCGTTTGTCCGTTAGAGGGCATCAAACTTGACATCCAAAAAATGTTTTTTGTCACATCAAGTTATGATAATATAGTTGGCGAAAATATGGGATTTTATGTTATTATCGCAAATTATATTGGACAATAAGCTTCATAAAAAAACTTTATTTTTGATTGATGCCCTCTAACAGATAAACGAATCAGTTTTGTATATAAGTAAATTATGTGCAATTAACTTATTATGATTCAAAAAATACGTAGTTGTTCTATGTCCACGGAATATTGGAACTCCCTGTATATTTTATAGGTCTGCTTATTAAAAAAGTTTTTTGTCAAAAACTATGCGATGTGGCGTTTTTATACAGGAAACCATCGGTGGAGTTGGAAAATATTTATACTAAAATTTATGTAAGGGTGGGGGTAGTTTTCACTCTTGTCGTACTTTTTCTTGACTTATGTAAAAGTCAAAGGTTAAGGCACTTAGCAAAACATAGACACCCAAATCTCATTCAAATCGGAATAACGGTTCTTAAAATATCTGAAAACATGCGTTTATTTTTTTATGAGTTTGATGCCTTCTAGCGGAGAAACGAAGCACTTTTGCATAGAGGTAAATTGTGTCCAATGAACTTATTTTGATTCTAAAAATACGTAGTAGTGCTATGTCCACGGAATATTTCGACACCCTGTATATGTCGGTATATACAGAGTTATAAATCGGCAGCTTACCTATGCATAGGCTGAAATAGAAAGTGTTAACGCCTTGCGTAACCATCTTCTGATGCGTGTCAAATACTCGTCAGCGAGTAATGGCACTAGTAAGCCAATGAAAAAAAAAGTGGTAAAAGCCAATGAAATTTGGATAGAGTAAAAATAGATAAACGGGAAAGCAGCTGGACCGGACAACATCTACCCAGAATTGATAAAACTAATAAACGGAGACAATTTAAAGTTATTGGTAAACCCCTTCAATTCTGTATACAATACCGGAAACATACCGCAGGACTGGCTAAGGTCGACATTTATACCTATTCCTAAAAAAAACTGGTGCAAAAAGATGTGATGAGTTTCGTTTAATAAGTCTGATGAGTCAAGTCCTAAAGCTGTTTTTAAAGGTTCTGCATAATCGAATCCGAAGAAAATGTGAGTTAGACATAAGTGAACAGCAAATGGGATTTCGCGAGGGACTGGGGACGAGAGAAGCCCTGTTTGCGCTATCGGTGCTTTTGCAGAAGTGCAGAGATCAACGAAAGGAGGTACACCTATGCTTCATAGACTACACGAAGGCATTCGACTGCGTCAACCACAGGGAATTGCTGAGCATCCTTGAAAGAAGAGGCCTGGATACCCAAGACCTGAAAATTATCCAAAAGCTATACGAACAACAAGTAGCGACAGTAAAACTACAGGACACTGAAACAACAGCAATACCTATCAAGCGTGGAGTTAGGCAAGGATGCGTATTGAGCCCTATGCTCTTCAATATGTACTCCGAACTAATATTTCGAAATGCGCTTGAGGGATCAGAAGACGGCATAAAAGTGAATGGCAGGCTGATTAACAACATGAGATATGCTGATGATACCGTCGTTATTGCAGACACCACTGAGGGCCTGCAAAGACTTCTTGATAGACTGTCCTCGGTGGGCGACTCAATGGGTCTCAGGATAAATACAAACAAAACAAAAGTCATGGTGATAAATAGAGATGCAAGACAGGCAACGGAGGTAGTCGTAGGTGGGACACCAATAGCAAGAGTCTCAAAGTTTAGATATTTGGGCAGTTGGATTAGTGAAGACCTAAACCCAGACATTGAGATCAGAGCTCGAATTGAGATGGCTAGATCAAACTTCCTAAAATTGCGGAACCTACTGTGCGATAAACGTCTCAACATCCATATAAAAGACAACTTCGTCAAGTGCTACGTACTTTCCACACTTCTCTACGGGGTTGAGTCGTGGACACTCAAAGTAAGCGCAATGAATAAGTTGGAAGCATTTGAGATGTGGGTATATCGCAGAATGCTGAGAATACCATGGACTGACCGTGTCTCGAATGAACGAGTTCTAAACCAAATGAACAAGGACCGAGAACTCCTCGACATAATAAAAAAGAGGAAAGCAGCCTATTTGGGCCATATCATGAGACATAGCAAGTATGAATTCCTTCAGCTCATCATCGAGGGTAAAATTGAGGGAAAGCGCGGACCCGGACGACGGCAATGCTCCTGGCTGAAGAACATCAGAGATTGGACAGGCCTGGACTCACATACTTTGCTGAGAAGAGCGAAAAATAGAGAGGAATTTGCCATGGTTGTTGCCGATCTTCACTGAATGGAGAAGGCACTTTAAGAAGAAGAAAAATAGATAAATATACGACTCCTATATACTCTTTTTTTAATATCTACTTGATGATGCGAGGAGTGATGTAAATATAGAAAATGTTTAAATTGTGTAATTCAGAAAATAAAAACAATGAAAGTCTGACAATATATAAGCTTTCTTTTGATTGAATTATTGTATGCCACCTTGAAATAAAAAATATACTTACTTATTTTGCATTTTGTTTATTCGATAGAGCAAAACTGCCGCGGACAGGAACAGTAGTATAAGAAGTAGAGTCGTTGCGACGAGAATGAGACTTTGCCTGGGCAATTTCCTGAATTCCGTTATGGCATCTTTTAGCGTCCTGACAAAGCCTCTCGAGCCTTTTCTCTCTAACAAGGAACCTAGAAAAATCAGACAATATTTAGTTATTTTCTCTCTCATTTAACTACTCATCATTTCGACATACAGGTTTTTTTATTAGTGGCTCACCCCCTATAACTCTTTTATATTTTCAGATAAAAAAACAAGATTTGCTATGTTAATATATGACATAAATCGGCAGCATCAATTGATTGACATATTCAATTATTTTCAGCAGTCACTCCTGTTCAATAACTACACCCATAGACTACACCTTTTTTATTTTGTTTTGTGTGAAATTATTGATGAATATCGATATATACAGGGTGTCCCAGAAATAAGTGCAAGGATTTTAACTGGTAGTATAGTTCAACCCCAGAAACACGCCAAATTTTTGGAATTTTTTTAGTTTTTAGTTAAAAAACATAATTTCTTGATAATATGGCAACATAGGTATTAGATTAAATTTACAAGAAAGAAATTTCAGGAAAGATACAGTAGTTCTCAAAATTTTAGCAAAAAATATTTTTTTTGGAATTGTTCAAAGGAAAATAACTCCGTTATTTTAGACTTATTTAAAAACGATAAACATAAAATATGTTTCTTTTATCGAGATCTACCACCCCTTAAAATACTTGCACTTATTTCTGGGACACCCTGTATATTGAGTAAGATATTGAGTAAAGACCCGCCCATGACCCGCCTATACACGCGCTGTCACTATTCTCACTTCCGTCAGCTGCTGACTGACGGGATTCTATTATCGACGAGTCTGACTGTTTTTATTAATAAATATATTGTTTTCATTGTTACCTTGTAAAGTTTCAGCCTTCAGAAATTATTCACTTTGAGTGACAACATGGTGACAACATTTTTTTTTGACAGCGCGTTTGATGTAGCGCTGATGCTTTGTGTCTCCATAGTGCTCTGTCTGACTGTTATATTCTTTTACATTGCATTCAGAAAACAGTTTGGAGGTGTTAATTAAAATTACACCTTTGTGCGCCCTCTCAGGGCCCGGTGTCCTAGAGCTGGAGCTGCTGACTGGACCTTTGATTTTGAAAATATGAGCCTTCAGAAAACTCTTGCATGTTTTTGTACCCGGTTCTTGGACTATAAGACCGTGGCAGTTAAGATTGATATTTAAAATACTAATAGTAAAAAATAACCAATTGTTTAAGCGAACATGCTAAAAGTTAACATATGATATATTGAGAGTTGACATATGACATATACCATTCTATTCAGAATGTAATTTTCTATCAACTGAAGTAAAAAAATACTGACGGTATATACCATTTAAAAAATCAAAAGAAGTATAGTAGTAGTAATTTCCGGTAAAACAGGAAGTGACCGAAAATAATTGAATACGTCAGTCATTCCATGTCATATACTAACATACCAAATCTCGTCTTTTTATATAAAAAAAAAGTTATAGGGCCACTATTGAAAAACACCCGGTATAGCAATAGACTCTAATAACATGTACAATAAAGTTATATTGTCTAAAACGTTTTTATTTATTATTAATTATTAATATAATTATATTATAACACATTTTTAATAGAAAAGAATAGCCTAAACCAGCCTAAACCGGTTTGAGTTTGACATTATTTAAAGTTGATGTCAATTTGTACCAACGCAACGATATAAAATTTAAATTAATAAACAAATATTAGTTTTTAAAGTTTAACTTACCATCATTTTGACCTCTCACACTTTCTTTTCTTAAGGGGCCGATGTTGGGGCATGAGAAAGCCTCAGAACCGGATAGTACCATGTCCGGTGCAGGAGATTCCCTTCCGCTTTCAGCTGATTCTGAAGAATCCTGATCGGGCTCCTGAAATATTTAAAAAATACCTGAATTATTAAGTGTCTAAGAGTTAATTGCTAGTAATTTTGACACATTTAAAAAGACCAGTGATACAGAATTGGCGAACTAAGTTTCATTCAGAACCTCGCAATTAGTGGTTTTAATTAGCGTAGAAGTTTGTTCCTTTAATTTCAATTACTGTCCTCCATTCACGCAGTTGTGCAGCTCTGGACTGTTCAAGAACGCGATACTCTCACTCCATTTAATTGAGTCATAAAGTTCCAGAACTGTTCCGCGCCATATGGAGGCACTAGGCTATCGCGCACAGCCCCTTTCAGAACCGTTTTCGAGTAGCCGCAGGACGTAAAGCCCGGAACTCGAAGTTCGCGAATGGAGGACAGCAAATGTAAGCATTCAGAACGTCAAAATTAGTAGGTACACATTTTCAATTAGCAGAAAAAGTTATCAAACTTTTAACTTTTCCACTAATTATACTTCAAAATTTGCGAGAAATGTCATTTTGGCCATTTGATTTTCTTCCGTCCAGAGAAAGTGTAGTTAGAAATCAAAAGTTGATTGTTTTATAAGCTAAATATTAGGCTTTCTCTATGGATACAACTGACTAAAGCGGCCCACAAACGGTCAATAATATTTCATATTGTGCAATAATATTGAGCGTTTAGGGTTTACATTGAAAGGTTGCACAATATATTGTGTCAAACAAAAACAGTTTGATTTTTATTGTGCAATAGTGATTAGTTTGTATCGTGTGTGGATAATATTGCACAATAGTCGAGTATATTTTTGTTTTCTTTGCGTGTTTGTCTCGCTGCTCGGCTCTATTTAGAATATTTAGATGAGTGGTTTGTCAGCAAATATGGGATCAAAAGCAAAAGAGGAAGAAAGACGATTTATTAAGTCAGTGAAATGTACCATTCTTTGTCAGCTTTATGGAATACAAAAAGCAAAGAATATAGCAACAGAAATAAAAAAATGAACAATATGATGAATTACTAGGGAAATATAACCAAAGTGCAAAAGGAAACTAGTTACTGAACAAATTCATTGTACTGTTTGGAGATAACTAACAATATTATTGGGCAATATTATTGCGCAAACATATTGACCGTCTGTGGGCCCCTTCGCAAGCTGTTGCTAGGATATTCTATTAATTTTAATTGTGTTTTTTAAACATCGTGAATGATCCTAACTAAAGCTTCATTCAGAACCTCGAAATCAGTGGAATAAATTAGTAGTTTCAATTAGCCGTAGAAGTTTGTTCACCTAATTTCTAACGGTATTTTAATTAGTGGTAGTAATTTTCAATTACTGGAAAAAGTTAACGAACTTTTGACTTTTCCACTAATTATACTTCAAAATTTTGGAGGAATGTCATTTTTGGCCTTTGATTTGATTATCACCCGTCAAGAAAAATTTTGGTTAGAAATCAAAAGTTTATTGTTTTATAAGCTAAATATTATCTGTGAATATTATGCTGTTGCTAGGATATGTTATTAATTTTAATTGTATTTTTTAGGCATTGTGAATGATCGTAAACTAAAAAGTATAAAGGTAATTGAAACTACTAATTTATTCCACTAATTGCGAGGTTCTGAAAGAAGCTTAAAGCTTCAGCAGAAAGCAACAACTTCGGCTAGTCAGTTGTATCCATAGAGAAAGCCTAATATTTAGCTTATAAAACAATCAAATTTTCATTTCTAACCACAATTTCTCTTGACGGATGAGAATCAAACGCATGACATTCCTCGCAAATTTTGAAGTATAATTAGTGGAAAAGTTAAAAGTTTGTTAACTTTTTATACTAATTGAAAATGACTATCACTAATTTTAACATTCTGAATGCCTTATATTGCAATTTAATGAACAAAATTCTATGCTAATTAAAACCACTAATTTATTCCACTAATTTGGAGGTTCTGAATGAAGCTTAGTAGTGTTGTTAATGACTTACAGTTACTTCCGGTTCCGGTATCGCTTCCTCTAATTTCGCCTTTTCCCATACAGTTTTCATGTAAGCCAGCGTGTTGTCCCTGGACATCAGACTCCCGAAGATGTGTTTGTCCTCACTCGTGGCGATCCCGACGGCATTTGGTATTATTTTAGCTGTTTTCTCTTTCGTGATTTCTTCAACAGTTAGGACAGGTATTAAAAGCTGAAAAGAAGAACCAGAGTTAATATTATATGAATATACCATATGAACGCAAAAAACCGCATCAAGTTGGTTTAGAAATGACGATCGACGGCATTTATGTGTTATCACCGTTATATCTACGCCACATCTACGCCTGAACAACGCTTGAACCGCCAAACATCACCCTCTATGAACCGGGGTATTTGAAGGGCGTTTAGGGTTGGTACAAAGCATTTTTTGCTTTGACCGTCGTTCACTGTTGATCTGTCGGTAAACTTCGCTGGTACAACCGGGCCTATGGTGAAAAACCTCGTGAAAACCCCTTAATAGCAGTGGCGGCCCGTGGTTATTATTGTAGGGATGTCAATATCTAAAAATATTGTGTCAATTTTTTTAAAACGCGACCAAATTTAATTGGTTTCTTACAAGGTACTTGTACGTTTAGTTAAAGGAAATTAAATCTAAAAATAAATACAAATTATGTTAAAATCAAACCTATTCTTACATTTTTAAACAGGTGGTCTAGTGCCATTTCACTAAAAATCCAGTCAATGTTCTTTAAACAAATTTTCGACGGTAGGATTTAAGACACTTAAATAATAATGTTACAATAATATAAATACCATAATATATACACATACACATTTCTAAAAGTTTTATTTCACATTTTTTTTATATTTTAATCAGTCAATTCTTTCTCTAAACGTTTTTCGAAATTTAAGCAATTGTTTTTACCTTGTTTTCTTTTAACTACGATTTTACAAACTGAACACAATATGTTGTCTATTTGAAAATATATATTCCAGAATCAGTCAACAAGAGTTCATCACTTATGCAGAACAAAATAAAAACACTAAATCACCACAATACACCAAAACACTTTTACTTTTACACTGGACGCGCGTTTCGCTAACCATGTTAGCATCATCAGCAGATGATTATAAAACTCAATTATGCAGAACCAGAAAATTATGAATTATTACCTACACAAATTTCGCGCTGCATCTCAAACCATCAGCTACGACAAAGCTACGGCGACTAAAACTACGATACTCGATATTAAAAGTTTAAATATTGATTTATATTGAACAAACCAAACATTATACGCGATACGCGATAAACGATACAAAAACCTACGTTGTTTTATAATTTGAGTTTTTATAAACTTCCAAACTGCCCAAACGGCGAAATTTTTTTAGCGATATGACTGAAATCCTGTAATATATTTAAAAAAAAAAATATTTAAATACGCTTACAGAAATGAAGTATCAAAATTATTACTGTATTTTCACAAAAACCTAAATATTTCAAAAACGGTAAAATTAAAATGCGGTAAACCTTAATCAAATTTACCTTTATTTTAATCGTAGCAACTAAAAATGTAATAATATAAAGGGTGCCCCATTGAAAAAATACAACTTTGATATTTTTTATTTATAGCAAACTAGACACTCTGTATCTTGAAAAAATATTTTTAAATTGTAGCTTTACAGTCCTTCATTGAACCCAAAACTTACAATTTGCAAAAATCTAATCGTTTACCTACAATACTCCGTGTCGTATGCGGTGAACAACCCTGTATTCAGGTCGGCGATCATTCAGGATAAGTTATCATACCCAACCAATGACTAAAGAAAATAAGGGCTGCGCCCACATACGGGCTGCGGCAGAATTTGTGACCTTAGACGCCATTCTTTTGATGGCAACGAATGAGTCATCAGCTGGTCACCAGCGACCATTTTAGCGATTTTTAATAGTTTATGTGTAGTGAACTTTGTATAAACTTTATTACAATGGTGATTAGTTGTTCAGCTTTCAAGTGTAAAAGCAGCAGCGATAAGAAAGAGCCAGGAGTTACGTTTCATAGGTAAATAAACAGTTCGCTCCACCTGTTTAGCGTGTTCTTAGATTTCTTATTGAATTCGATAATTATTTTTTATTTTTCTGATATTATATGTACTTGATGTGTGCTATACGTCGATACTAGTTTTGTACCTTTTGTTAACATTTGAATAAGTTCTTTTCCGTAATTAATTAGTACGATACCACTGCCTACACCATAGGCGTAGTCAAAACATTTATCAAAAATATAAATGTCCCTTCAAGCAGCTAAGTTAAGAAAAATATATGGCCACGGCACTGTTTGGTGCCATGGTAACAATTTGGTCTCGGCATTCGGGTGTTATTTGTCCTTGGATTCTTTAGTCATTGTACCCAACTAATGCTTACCTTAGTTACGTATCCAAATACGTTGGAGTAGAAGGCGAAGTAGTTTTTGGTAATATAGAGGTGGCCCTGGAGCAAGATGTCGCCGATGAGGGCGCAGGAGTAATGGTTGAGCACTTTCTCGTCTTCCTCCACGTTGGGGAAGTGACGGAGGAACTTCTTTTGGCGCGCCTTGGATGTGGTGCGCACCTTGGGGTCCTTGGCGGCCTTAGGACTGGGCGGCTCCGCTAGATGGCCTTGAGCTGTCATCGCAGGCGTGCTAGTGCTTAAGTGCTTTAAGTTTGTCCTGAAACAATAAAAATAAAAAATATACAGGATGTTTCAAAAACATGTGGCATCATCCTCACGTAAATAAAATTATTTTTCATATCAACATAGGTCCGATTCTGCTTTGTTTCGTAACTAATAATCTTTCGATTTATTATAATTTTCTTTCAAGTACTTTTAGTGATTGGAATGAAATTTTGAGGAAAAAGTTACTATAATAATTTGTCATTCGATTACCACTTTTCTCCTTGTCGGGTTGTTGACTTGTCGCCATTAGGTATGTTAGTATATGACATAAATTAGGATTGATTGACCTATTCAATTGTTTTCGGTCACTTACTTTTCACCGTAAATTATGGCAAGTTTTGATTTTTAAATGACACCCTCGTTATTTTTTTACTTTATTCGATAGAAAATGACACTCTGAATAGAATGACATATATCATATGTCAACTTTTGACATTACGCATATGGTTTATTTAAAATTGTAACATGCGGTTCATAACGATAGTTTGACTCGAAATACCAAGTGTGTGGTACCAAATTATCTATACGTAAAAAATGCCTTTTCCAAATACACGGTAGTGAGCCACCCTTGTTCCATTTGAAAAAATTGAGATATGATTAAAAATACGATTTGGGCATTTTTAACCGGCCAGGACAAAATACGAAAAACATTAGGCAATCAAATATATTTTTCCAAGACTTCTTGATTAAAAATTAGTGTTTTTAACACAACCATGGCAGTCTAGATTGAAATTTAAAATTTAATTATTATTTTAAAATACAATTTTCTTTTTAAGCAAAATGTCAAAGTTGACATATGATATGTCATTCTATTAGGAGTGTCAATTTTTATCGAATAAAGTAAAAATATACCGAGGGTGCTATTTAAAAATCAAAAGTTGTCATCATTTCCGTTGAAACAGAAAGTGGTCGAAATCAGTTGAATACGTCAATCAATCCTAATTTATGTCACACAATTATACCAAATCTCGTTTTTTATCTGAAAAACTAACAAAGTTATAGGGTGTGCCACTTTTGAGACGCACCGGTATATAAAAAATTTGAAAAAAGTTCGTACAAACATGGGTTTGGAAATGCATAGCTTTAGAGTTATAGGATGTTAAAACTTTTTAAAAAATTAGGTTTTTGTAATTATGTATGCTAGGTTTGTATTATGTATACTAGGTATACCAAAGATATTAAAACTTTAATATATTTGAGGTATACACTGTGATCGATTTAACCACAACATTGTGAACCCCTTTATAAAAATACCTTGAAATTAATTTTCTCTAATCATTTCATCCAAAAATAAATCGTACTTCATATATAATACGAGTATATAATATAATAAATATATAATAGAAGTTACAGCGATTTGTTAAAAATACATATTTTTGAAAAACACCCCTTAACTCCGAAACGGTAACAGATATCGATATGCGGTTTTCACCATCATGCTTTTGACAAAAATTGAGCTCCAGACACCGATATTAGTTTTTGTCTATCTCCTATAGAAAAGGGTGTTTCCATTTAAAAGCGTCGAATTTGACCCACCCTGTACATCCATTTTGTGTTGTGGATTGTGACTAAGTTCTTACTAAGTGCCTACGATATTGTTTATTAATTATTTTAAAGCAAAATATGGGAATACTCTAAAAAGAATGCCTGCAAAAGGTGATTCTGGGAACTGCTGTTCATAAAAGTGCATTATGTGAATATTTAATACGATTTATACAGTTAATTTTCTATATTGCATACATATAAGGTGTTTAAATAAAGAAACTCAATAATGAATGTTCTGCATACGGCAACCAATAATACACACACTATCATGACAAGGACTACAATGACGTCAGAAAGCAAAGAGTTTTCGCATGCACCTTGCAAACACATTTGGCTGAATGAGCAGTCCTATTAGGTTAACTGTTCTTGATCGTACCCAACCAACGCTTACCTTAGTTACGTATCCAAATACGTTGGAGTAGAAGGCGAAGTAGTTTTTGGTAATATAGAGGTGGCCCTGGAGCAAGATGTCGCCGATGAGGGCGCAGGAGTAATGGTTGAGCACTTTCTCGTCTTCCTCCACGTTGGGGAAGTGACGGAGGAACTTCTTTTGGCGCGCCTTGGATGTGGTGCGCACCTTGGGGTCCTTGGCGGCCTTAGGACTGGGCGGCTCCGCTAGATGGCCTTGAGCTGTCATCGCAGGCGTGCTAGTGCTTAAGTGCTTTAAGTTTGTCCTGAAACAATAAAAATAAAAAATATACAGGATGTTTCAAAAAACATGTGGCATCATCCTCACGTAAAAATAAAATTATTTTTTCATATCAACATAGGTCCGATTCTGCTTTGTTTCGTAACTAATAATCTTTCGATTTATTATAATTTTCTTTCAAGTACTTTTAGTGATTGGAATGAAATTTTGAGGGAAAAAGTTACTATAATAATTTGTCATTCGATTACCACTTTTCTCCTTGTCGGGTTGTTGACTTGTCGCCATTAGGTATGTTAGTATATGACATAAATTAGGATTGATTGACCTATTCAATTGTTTTCGGTCACTTACTTTTTCACCGTAAATTATGGCAAGTTTTGATTTTTAAATGACACCCTCGTTATTTTTTTACTTTATTCGATAGAAAATGACACTCTGAATAGAATGACATATATCATATGTCAACTTTTGACATTTACGCATATGGTTTATTTAAAATTGTAACATGCGGTTCATAACGATAGTTTGACTCGAAATACCAAGTGTGTGGTACCAAATTATCTATACGTAAAAAAATGCCTTTTCCAAATACACGGTAGTGAGCCACCCTTGTTCCATTTGAAAAAATTGAGATATGATTAAAAATACGATTTGGGCATTTTTTAACCGGCCAGGACAAAATACGAAAAACATTAGGCAATCAAATATATTTTTCCAAGACTTCTTGATTAAAAATTAGTGTTTTTAACACAACCATGGCAGTCTAGATTGAAATTTAAAATTTAATTATTATTTTAAAATACAATTTTCTTTTAAGCAAAAATGTCAAAAGTTGACATATGATATGTCATTCTATTAGGAGTGTCAATTTTTATCGAATAAAGTAAAAATATACCGAGGGTGCTATTTAAAAATCAAAAGTTGTCATCATTTCCGTTGAAACAGAAAGTGGTCGAAATCAGTTGAATACGTCAATCAATCCTAATTTATGTCACACAATTATACCAAATCTCGTTTTTTTATCTGAAAAACTAACAAAGTTATAGGGGTGTGCCACTTTTGAGACGCACCCGGTATATAAAAAATTTGAAAAAAAGTTCGTACAAACATGGGTTTGGAAATGCATAGCTTTAGAGTTATAGGATGTTAAAACTTTTTAAAATTAGGTTTTTTGTAATTATGTATGCTAGGTTTGTATTATGTATACTAGGTATACCAAAGATATTAAAACTTTAATATATTTGAGGTATACACTGTGATCGATTTAACCACCCAACATTGTGAACCCCTTTATAAAAATACCTTGAAATTAATTTTCTCTAATCATTTCATCCAAAAATAAATCGTACTTCATATATAATACGAGTATATAATATAATAAATATATAATAGAAGTGACGTTTTTAAAAAGGTTATTTTTTACAGATCAAAAATAATTTGAGATAGATCTTATACCTAAGATTCCTTCGAAAAAAACAATCATTAGACAGTTCTTTAAAATACACTTTTACCCTTGTTTATCATATACAAGGCTTTTACATAGGATAAGTGCAACCTTTTCACTATTAATTTTATCAAATATTATTTGGATTTCGTAGATATTTTTATAACTAATACACACAAAACAGAGATTAATAAAGCAATGAAGAAAGCCGAGTATTAAATCTGAAGTGCGAGATAACACCAAGTATGTTATTTTTTTATTATTGTAAAGGATATATTTTTTTCTAATTTTTGATAAATATTCAAAAAATAAAACACTATATTTATCATCCTTTAGATATAATAAAATATTGGCAAATCTATTGAATTTAAATTTCCGGCTAGGGATTCAGGTGGTAGCTCTGCTGTAAAAAATGTCAAGCTGCCACATTTATTTATTTATTTCCTGATATTGTCATTCGTTTTGACACTCTAGTTTTGTGTTACGAATTTTTGGTTTAAATGAATTGTGTTGTGATACTTTAAGCTTAAATTTTTTTACTAGCACATCTTGCAATCCAACATTGTTCTTTTAGAACCTGGCGAAGTCTTCGAGATAGCTTTATAGCCGTTGCAAAAAACTCATCGCATCCTTATTAGAGTATTTTGAACAGGAAAGCGGTAGTAATGGCTCTTTATGTCTCTTAAGTGCTGTTAAGGAGGTGAGTTTTGTTGATGTATTAAGTAAGTAAAAGTAAACTATGTAAACAGTAAGAACTGTTTACATATTTATATTTATTTTTTTTTGTTTTCTAAAATATTTTGATTAAAATAATATGTAAAAGTGGGCAACGCTGTGCCGGTCAAGCTTAATCACGCGACTAAAACTTTATTTGGTTATAATCTATAGACGCCTATTGATCTTGCAATGCCATGTGTTAGTAGTTATAGTAGTATCTTATCTATGGTTAGTAGACTTCCTAGTTTTAACACCCTTTTTTTTGCTTATCAGGTTTGTCGTAAATTTTGGTGAATGTTCTTGGCTGGAGTTTGATTTTAAATAGAATATTTTGGTAGGCTGTTGAGTCTGATTTGTTTTTATTGGTAGAGGAAGTGGCTATTTTGATCCCTATGTAGGGTAGGGTAAGTAGTACGACAATTACCAAAATTCCTTATTAAAATAATGCATTCCTTAATTCATTCATAGTAAAATGTTCAAAGTGACCACCATTCATTTCAATGTAGACATCTGATCTTCTTCTCTACGATCTACGTAAATACCCTGTGGAATATCCTTGGTGTTGTCCGAATTTGATTGGAACAATCAATAATGCGTTGTCGTAGTTGCTTTTCAGTATTAATCGGCACTGAGCAAACCAAATTTTTTTAAAACCAAAAAAGTTTATTTCGTTTTTAAAGCAATAAGATGTTTTAAAAATCATGAAATTTTGATTTTCCAATTAATTATTTAATAACTACTTGGTTACTTTTGAACCGCCATAACTTTCATAAGTTTAGGTTGATTAACCAGTTAGCAACCCATGAAAGCAATATCTTTGCTTTCAATTTTCTCGAAAACCATCGCTCTGGGCGATGTGCAACAAGAGTACCTTTTTTGTAAGAAAAAGTATGTAGTTTTCAAAAAATGAACCCACGTTGCAAAAAAATAACCTCAAAAAAGTTATTCACGAAATAACCCCCTACCCTTGCAAAAACTACCCTTTCCGCTTTTCCAAATAATTTTTCAGCATCACCATTTGATTTAGGGTCAAAATTTATAGCAGTGGATTTTTTTTCGAAGTCTTATCTCGTTTTTTAAGCCTACAATTTCAAAACAACCGTTTTTTTAAATCCACCCTTCCAGTGCCCCTAACTCCCTTAATATGCATTTTCCGCCCTATACTTATAGGAACTTTCTTTACTAATTTTAGGAGTACTATCACCCCCCGATTTTTTTTACACCATTTCAATGACACCCTGTATCTTATATTGCTCAACACAAGAGTGGCACATTTTCCAGGCTGTAACATTGACACAAAATATATTCTGTAATTTCTGCTTCTGATTGACAAATCTGCAAATGCCTGGTCCGACAATCCCATCGGCTTTAGATGCCTACTGAGCTTCTAAAGCTCTGTTAGTATACCTACTGCAGTACTGCAGTTTTGACAGCTTTCTTGTATTGGCTCATCAGGCCTATCGTAAATATTTGCAATGTTCTTAGTTTGAATGTGATTTTAGGTAGAATATTTTGGAAGGCTGTTGAGTCTGATCTGATTTAATAGGTGGAGAAAATGGAGCATATTGGATCCCTTGTAGCTTATCCATTATCCCTCAAAAAATGCCAAATGATGAAGAAGCGAAATATCCAAAACAATAATAGAATTCTAATAATAATGATAAAAATAAAATAGAGGCTGGGAAGTATAGAGAATAAATCTATATTTGGGGGGGGGGGGATATCAATTAAACTTTTAGTTACGTATATAATCGAGGGCGCGATTTTTAAATTCATTGTTGCCAACTATGGACATATTTCGGCGCCGCGCCGGGCTGACTAACTGGAATTTAAATTTCGTGCTGGTGGTAGCTCTGCTGTAAAAATTGTCAATTTGACGCATTTATTTATTTATTTCCTGACATTGTCATTCGTTTTGACACTTTAGTTTTGTATTACGAGTTTTTGGTTTAAATAAATAGTGTTGTGATAATTTAAACTTAAAAATCTTTACTAGCAGATCTTGCAGTCGAACATTGTTCTTTTTAGAACCAACCTCTTTAAGTGCGAAGTGTAAAAAATAGCTTAACAGTCATAAAAACTCATAGCAACTTTATTAAAATATTTTCAAGGGGAATGCGGTAGTAATGGTCCTTTATGTCCCTTAAGTGCTGTTAAGACGGTGAGTTTTGTTGATGTAAGTAATAACCGTTTTGTAATTAATTTATTTTTGTTTCCTAAAATATTTTGATTAGAAGAAAATATATAAAAGTGGGCAACGCTGTGCCGATCAAGCTTAATCACGTTAATAAAAGTTTATTTGGTATGAAGTATGTAGATGAAGACCCCTGGAACAGCGAGCACAATAATCACAGGCGATATTAGCACACTATATTATATCTGAATAATGTATCTGTTGAGGAAAACTGTTAAATACTTTACCTATCATTCGAATCCGTACTTTCGATACTAGAAGTGTCATAATCGTCCGAACCAGTTTGCACAAGCGACGTCTGACTTTCTAGCTTGATAGGAAGAGAGTTTCTCGACATTCTGGTGATCAGAGTTCTCGAGAAGCTTCTGTGCATAATAGTCCACGAATTTCTTCGCACCGAACACTATAGTACTCTTCAGTTGTCAAATAAAAAGAGACATTATTCGAAATATGTCCACGCTAATCGTACTCAACAGCGCGATAGTTAAGCTTATTAAATACTGGCCGTATGGAGCCATTCCAATAACTATCGAACAACAGTTTTTTCGATGTGGAATTGAACGTGTCCCCTTATCTTATCGCCGTGTGCGTTATATGTTGTACTTAACAATAATTATTGCACCTAATCGTCAAGACATTTCATGAACAATACCTGTTTCAAGCAATTGTT